TGTGGTCCATGAATGAATAATACATGGTGTCCTTACCCTTGAAGACAGTCTACAGGATAAGCATAGTAACCTGGCCGAGCTTTTCACAGTTTACACATGACATTTCATGCACTTTAACTCTCTCTCAGCACTGCTCTGAAGCAGGAAGCGAGGCTGAGATTTCACCCTGTAGAGTTGCAAAAAACTGAGCCCTGGAAGCCTAAAGTCTCACAGCTAAGGTAACTTCTTTTTTTTGTTGTTGGGATGAGTAGATAGATCATTGAGAGTGAGAGTGGGTGTTGATTTCTGCAGGACATTTGACAGAATCAGTCAGGCTGTCCCTAACATAAGACAGAGAAGAGAGGACTTAGTGACAGTCCAGTTAGATGATCATTGCAGTGAGTTGAATACTTGGGCCTGAAGAGTGTTGCTAAATAGATTGGTGTTGGCTGGACCAAATGTCTGCCCTGGGATGGGTCACATTTGTGTTGAGACTTGGATGTGGTTATTGTGGGGGATTGTGCTTATTGTGTGTGTGGCTGAGACACATTGGGAGGGCCTGTCAGGACATGGTGCTACTGACCAGAACTCCTGTAGACCACAGGGGCTGGAGGTGCACAGAAACTGATGATGAAATTAAATCAGGATTAAGGTGGGTTCAGAAAACCCAGTCCACAGGTACAACATGGCTCAACACCTTCAAGAAGGAAGGTGGCAGTTGAGGTGTAAGGGTATGTGGATGTGATATGTGTGTCAGCAGTGAGGTGGACTGTCCTCAGGTGGAGAAGAACCACACACAAAGGTGCTGGCGATCCTTTTGCCCTCAGCACAGGGCATGGTCAGCTCTTGTAGAATTTGGAAACATGCCATGTAAAGGGATAGTTGAAAAGACTCAGGGCTGCCATTGGCCTAGAGAAGAGAAGATTTAGAAAGGACAACAGGGACTCCACCCTGCAGACTGAGACTTTGACCTGGGTGGGGCATAGGATTATATATTTTTAACTGAGGTCTGGGAATCATTGTCCTGAGGAAGAGAGGTTAGGTTTATTTCATTTGGCTCCAGAGGGCAGACCCCGACTGAAGAACAGCTGTACAAGGAAGCAGAGTTGGGCAGAATGTGAGGGAGAATATTCTGAAATTAATTATAAGTGGACTTTGGTGGTTGTGTGGGATGATGAACTCCTGGCGTTGGGGCGGGGTGTGTGTCTCAGACTTAAAAATATATAAGCACCTTTACAAAGGAAATGACTTAAACATTCAAGTTGTTCAGGCTTCCTAAAAACTCTCTTTCCGTCCTTATTAATGTATAAACCTGAGCTGTCCCAATTAGTAATTTAAATGTAAATTAATTAAAGTTAGATACCATTAAAAATTTGTTCCTGAGTTGTACTGGCCATATTTCATGCATATCCTGTGGCTGCCGTGTTGGCCAGTGCAGATCTAGGACATGTCTATCATGGCAGAAAGTCCTCTTGGACGGGGCCGGCCCGGTGGCGCACTGCTACAGTGCGCCGCTTGTGAAGCACGGCGGCGCTCCCGCCGAGGGTTCGGATCCCACATACAGACCGGTTCCCGCTCACTGGCTGAGCGAGATGCGGGAGCAACACCGAGGGTTGCGATCCCGTTGCCGGTCCCGGTCCGGTATGGGTGCGACACTGAGGGTTGCGGTCCGTTGCCGGTCACAAAAAAAAAAAAAAATCCTCTTGGACAAAGCTGGCTGTTATGAACAGACACTTTCCCATAGTTGGAAAGCAGAGCAGCATCATGATTAAGGATTAAGTTTGTAGATGATTTCATTTGTTATTAAAACTATGAGGTTTATCTCTACTTTTTTGGGGGGAAGGCATAGGGAGTTAAATAACTTGCCTGGGACAGTGGCAGGCAAGTTGGTCAGGCAGGCTGAGTTTGGGTCCCACTTGCTACAGTGTGGCCTCGGTCACTCATCCTCCATGCAAGCCTGTTTCCTCAATGGGAAAATAGCATAATCATAGGAGCTACTTCACTGGTGGCTGTGAAGATTAGGTGTTGTAGACATGTAGGCACTCACGTAGGCACTCAATAAATATTCTTTCTTTACCCATAAATTGTATTCTGTTTCAACATATTATTTGGTCCATTTTTTTCCCCCAATCATTTTCATTATTTCTTAAAGCCTATTTTGGTGTTGATATGTATTGATATGTAGTCCGTAGTTTGTTTAACTGTTCTCTTGCTGTTGGGAATTGGGACTTTACCTGTTCCCGATACTATAATTAGGATTCCAATTTATTGTTTTGCTAACTGTGCTAGATACTAGGTATTGTTACACTTATTTTTATTTCTAAGGAAACTTAAGCTTAGGGCCATTGAGTTGCAAAAATTAAGAGAGAGAACTGAATATAAATATTTGAAAAATGTCCAAGATATGTTAATAATGAAAAAAGTGAGTTGCAGAATGCTCGTGTAGTTTTTCATTTGTGTGAAGAACACAGAGGAGGCTGTGTATATGTTTATAAATGCACAGGGATAATAATAATAGAAACTATACTCAGTACTCAATCTGTCCTGATCTCACAATAGCTCTAGGAGGAAATGAGTGCTTAGAGAGCTTAAATTGTCCAAGATCACTCAGACAGTGAATAGCAGCACCAAACTTAAACCCAGGTCTCTGGGCTGTCAGCTTAGCTCAGTTGGTTAGAGAGCAACCTTGTAACTCCAAGGTTAAGGATTAGGATCCCCATACTGGCCAGCCGCAACAAACAAACAAAAACAACCCTGGTCTCTGCCAGTTCACTGCGGAGGATACCAACATTAATAAAGCAAATGTATTTTACAGGGCCTAACTTATAGCTTAGTGGGGCCACAGCCCTTTAGTTTAAAGAATCGCCTAACTTTTTAGAATTATATATAGAAATGCTAAGCTTGGGAAAAACAGAAAACTTTCCCAGGACTAAAGTCTCTGTTGTAGATAAAAAAAATTGTAACAGCAAAAAGTGCTTGCTCTAAGGGCAGATGCCCTTAGTGCAGCTAAACCTAATGATGGGAAAGTATATGAGCTAAAGGCTTCAAGGCTGATGGTTGGGGGATGTTCCACATCTTGCCTTTGGCTGTTTCTTTGAGTTTCTTGGGGAACTAAGTGTTTCTATGACGATTATCTCATTGTTCTTTTTGTAACAGCCTGTGTTCCTTTTCTGTAACTTTCTTGCCTGGAGAATAAAAACCGGGAGAAAAACCTTGTTCAGGGTTATTCCTAGGAATCCGGATCTCTTGAAGGAATTGTTCCTGGGATTAACCCCTTCTGGGCCTCTCACTGCTCTGGAGAAATGGGCTTTGAATAATCCTTCATGTCTCCATCACCCTGGAAGAGGTGACAGTTCAACCTATGCACTGGACTCCCCCGCTCTGTCACAGGGGTGGTGGTTATAGCTGTAGATGAAATGTACTGCATAGGCACTGTTGAAAGTCCTTTGATTGATGGGTTTTTCACACCTATCCAACAAGGCAGGTAGTAAGGATCTGTTGGTGGATATTGAATTGGAGAGCAAGTGGATCTGAAGTCTACACTGGGGAGATCACTTCTGCTGTGATTAGGTTAAGATGGATGACGGTTGGGGTGCTGTTTCATAGTGTGGTCTGTTCTCAGTACTGGGTGACCCAAACAGGGAATGGCAATTGTGGACCCATCATGGGTTCAGATGCTGAGGTTGGCAGAGTTTGGATTTGAATATCCAGGTGACATAAAGAAGGGAGACTGGGGCATGGTTTCAGCTTTACCTCTTCCCCTGCCCAAGGGTATGACCTTCTAGACATGGAACACCAACCACCTGGAAGGAAAGCAGATCTTCCTTTCCCACTATCATTTCTTTGGATTTGTTTATTCTTCTGTGGTCACACGTACCCGGCAAAGGTTTTCATCTACAGTTTAAAATTAACCAGTACAGACCCCATCATAACAATCATTTATCTATTGCTGCATAACAAATTGCCTCGAAATGTAGAGGCTTGAAAAAACAGTAAACATTTATCTCTCACAGTTTCTGTGGACTAGGAATTTGGGAGCAGCTTGGCTGGGTGGTTCTGCTTGGGATCGCTCAAGAAGTTGCAGTAAAGATGTCAGCTGAGGTTGCAGTTATCTGAAGGCTTGGACTGGGGCTGGAACATTTGCTTGCAAGGCGGCTCACTCACATGCCTGGCAAGGTGATGCTGGTTATTGCAAGAAGCCTCCATTCCTCTGTAGGTGGGCCTCTCCCAGGACTGCTCAAATGTCTTAACAACATGATGACTATGTTCCCCCAGAGCTGTCCAAGAGACAGTGCGAGGCAGACAGAAGCTTTCCTTTTTATGACCTAATCTGGGAAGTCACATAGCATTGCTTGTCACATGCTGTTCATTAGAACTAAGTCAGTAAGTCCACTGTACATTAAAGGAAAGGGGAATTAGGTACCACCTTCTGAAGGGATGAGGAAAGCCTGAGCATGGGGTTTTCCTCATTCCTCATTCCTCATTCTTCCATCTATTCAACAAATATGTATTGAATCTCTAATATGTGCCAGGTAGTCCAGATACAGAGATAAATAAGATAAATTAGGCTTGATCCCCACTCTCAAAAAACTTATAGTGTAGACAGAATAATAGCTATGATTTGGGTAGTGCTTTACAGTTTAATGAGAACTTTCATATGTGGTCCCACTTAACCTTCCCAGTATCCCTATATGATCACTAGAGCTGGGTATATCCCCATTTCGTACTGCCTCTAGAACTCAGGCGGTGGGGGCTTTTCTTAAGTTGATATAACTTACATGATCAAACTTGACATTGATCCCAACAATTCTGCCTATAAATTCCTTGCACTTTCTCCTGCAGGCTGTGTTCCTTGTGGCTGCTATATCATCCCTATGTTTCATGAGGAAACTGAGGCTGCAGTCACTGAACAGCTCTTAACACTTTAATTCCTTGATTTTTTTTACCATAGTGAGCTGTCCCTCAGGGATGGACTATCCTAAGTACTCCATTGACAGTTGCTGTCATTTTTCTTCTTGCAGAAAGCCCTGGGTGTACGGCAGTACCATGTGGCCTCAGTCCTGTGCCAACGGGCCAAGGTGGCCATGAGCCACTTTGAGCCCAATGAGTACATCCGTTATGACCTGCTAGAGAAGAACATTCACATTGTTCGCAAACGGTAAGGCTGCAGGTGGGAGCTTATGGTGACTGCTAAGGGTGCTGCTTCTGCTGCCTGCCTCTTTCAGGCAACATGGGAAGTGCTTGGTGCAAGATGGGTGATGGATGATGGCAGGATCAAGGTGATCAGGTTCAGAAGTCCCTGCTGAGGAAAGGGATTCTGGATTGGTGGTAGAACTTCTGCCCTCTCTGCCACGGAAGAATCTGTTATCAAGAAGCATGGAGATATGGGTGATAGGGAAGGTCTCAGGTGAGCTTTGGTGCTGTGGCCTAAACCTCCCAACCTTTCCAGGGCAGGCTGCCAACCCTCAGCCAGCCCTCTAGAAGCGGCTGGAGAACCATCTGTATTTCCTCTTCAGTGTGTGGGCCTGAGACCCAGAAGAAAGCTCAGGTGGGATCTTGAGCACATCTTTTTTCTGAGCCTCATTTTCCTCATTTGGTAAAGTGGCCGTTGTCTTTGCCCTGCTGTCCTGTGTGCCAGGGCCTGGGCTAGATCCTCCCCCCAGAGGATGAATAAGGTACAGGAGAATGAGGAGTGGAGGCTGACAGTACACACCAACCAGCACTGCTCTTGGAACTTGAACAACTGGCAACAGGGTTATGCTCTTGCTAACCTGGTGGTTTCCTTGATACTGTTTGTAGTGATGCTGGAAGAAAACGGATCTGAGCATACATGTTGTACAGCCAAGGGACAGGCTCAGGTGGAGAAGCAACTTGCCCAAAGCCACACAAACCTGTCTCCGTGCCCTTGTCTGGTGCTGTGACCCCTATCCCATGCTCCCTCTCTCTTGTCACTTTGCTTCCTATTTACTAGTGTCATCACTTCACTTTTAAGGGTAGGAACTATCTCAATCTTTATCTCCAAAAGCCTCCAGCACAGCATCACCTTTTAACCATTTGTCACGGATGGTAACTGTAGCTACCTGAGTGTCCAGTGTGGTGGAGGCACTTCACGTACGTTATTTCTGTTCTTCTCAACAATGCTCATAGGTTGTTGTCACACCCATCACCCCACTGTGTAGATAAGAAAACTGAGTGTCAGATTGGGGAAATAGCCTGTCTATGGTATTACCTCTATTGCATGGCGGAGCCAAAGTCAAGTCCGGTTTATCTGACTCCAGTGCCTACCAGTGGTGTTCCAGCATTCTTGTGGGGTTCATCTAGACAGCACATTAGAATCATCTGGGAAGCTTTTGAAACAACCAACCCCTGGGCCCCATTCCTAGGGATTCTGAATCAAGTGGTTTAGGCCTTGCTATTCAAAATGTGGTCCATGGACTGGCAGCATTGGCAGAATCTCAGACCCTACCCCTGTCTCCATCAATATGGGACCTTGTACAAGTACTTTTTCCACAGGAAACAATATTTGATTTATTCTTGGAGCTGTCAAGACTATAGCTTGGTGGAAAAACAGTGGATTTTCCTTTAGGCTGCAAAATGCTTTTGCCACCTTGCTCTTCACACGGAAGGAGAGCTAACATAGATGCTTGCATTGAGATAACTTGACAAAAGAGTATTTTTTGCCATTTAGTTTTGCTTTAAACAATTAACAACAACAAAATGCCCTTTAAGGCACTGGGAGGTTTTTTTATTTGTTTGTTTTGTCTTTTTGGCAGCTGGCCTGTGTGGGGATCTGAATTTGGTGTTAGAAGCTGTGCTCTAACAACACTGGGAGTTTTTTAGGTTTTAATTTTATCAGTAAAATTAACACAAAATAAATATTCTTTCCTTTGCTTATTTTTTTCTAATCCTGCATTAGTCAGAGAAGTCCAGTGACTTTAAGCATTTTCCAGATGTGTACAGACAGGGGTGGTTCTATCTTCATTGCTGCCACAGAGCAGTGGTTCTTAATGAGGTGGTTGGTTTTGCCCCCTGGGGGACATTTGGCAATGAGACATTCTTGGTTGTCATAACTCGTGGTAGGGAGAGGCCTCGTATACTATTAAACTTCCTACAGTGCACAGGACAGTCCCACAGCAAAGAATCATCTGGCCCAAACTGTCAGCAGTGCCATGGTTGAGAAACCCTGACATAGAGAAAGAAGGTGATGGTGAGGCTATTCTAAAAAGAATTCTATTGTAAATAATTTTTTAGAAGGTCAGGGGATTTGCTGAGGGACTCTTCCTTCACCCTGGGTCTGTGACAGAAGGGGTCTGATTCTCTTCTTGGGAACTGGGACTGTGTCATCCAGAGCAACGAGGGACAGATGAATATAGAGGACCCATTTTGCCATCCTCAGTTAATCCTCAGGGAAATGCGGTGATGAACCCAGCAGGCTTTGTTATACAGCTTCAGGCATTTGCTTGGGTTTTTAAGCCCGTGTGCTATTTTTCATCTTCCCTGGGGCCCAGAAAGAGGGGCTTTGCTCTGAGCAGAGAGTCACTGCTCGTACACCAACGTTAGAGGTGCTGCTGCAAATGGGGCAGGCCGTAGCTCAGGCTAGTGCCTTTTTTGGGGGGTGGGGGGTTGGGTGGGGATCTGAACCCTTGACCTTGGTATTATAAGGCCCACACTGTAATCAACTGAGCAACTGGCCAGCCCAGTATTGTTATTTTTATTTATTTATTTATTTATTTATTTAAAAGACGACTGGCAGGGCCAGCCCGTGGCTCACTCGGGAGAGTGTGGTGCTGATAACACCAAGGCCATGGGTTCGGATCCCTATATAGGGATGGCCGGTTTGCTCACTGGGTGAGTGTGGTGCTGACAACACCAAGTGAAGGGTTAAGATCCCCTTACCGGTCATCTTTTGTAAAAAAAAAAAAAAAAAAAGATGACCGGCAAGGGGATCTTAACCCTTGGCTTGGTGTTGTCAGCACCACACTCTCCCAAGTGAGCCACGGGCCGGCCCCTGCTATTTTTACTGAAGGTTCTCATGATGGCAGAACTGTAAGAGATTCTCAGAATCTCCAGTTGATCTGCTGTTGCCTGCAGAGCCGGAGCCTTAGGGAATTCTTACTTTCAAGGGCTTAGGTAAACTTGGGGTGAGGGACCGGAAGCTAGGGTGGCAGGGGGAAGTGTCCCTGCTTTTCCAGCAGAGGCATACTGGTAATTGGCAACACTTTGTGCTGGGCCCTGTTGTAAGTTTCCAGGTTTTGAGGCAGTTCCGGCTAACATAAAGAACACATCAGGCAGGAGAGCCACACTTCTGGCTCTTTGTGTTCTAGCTTTATGACCTGGGGCAGGTTACTTCACCTCTCTGCTTGTTTCCTCATCTGAATAGTGAGGATAAAATGAGTTGTATACATGAAAGTGGTGACAGAAACCAGAACAGTAGTGGCCTGTGGATGGGGTGGGCAGGAGGAAACTTTGAGGAGGTGGATATATTCAGTATCTTGATTGTAGTGCTGGTTTCACAGGTGTGTGCTATATCAAACTTATCAGACTGTATACTTTAAATATGCACAGTTTATTGTACGCCATTATACTTCAGTGAAGCTTCTTAGAAACAAAGAAAGAACCATATAAGTGCTAGCTTTCCATTCCAGTCCAAGCCCTGGACTTTAGAGTTAGGGTGCTGAGCTCCCTGAGGAGGGTAGTTGCTTATCTGGTTACTCAGTGGGTTTAGTAATGGGTCAGGTCTAAATCCAGAGTTCCCGGCTCCTGATTTGACTCTTTTTTCTTAGCCTCAGACAATAGGGTATGACCTGTTGGGTGTAGGAGGAATTCTGCTCCTTCCTGGGAGGTCTCAAGATGGGGGCAACCAGGTCAGGTGGGCAGCAGCAGGGGGTCATCAGGGAGCTGTGAGGTGGGTGGAGGACTCCAGCTGAGTGGGAGGCTGGTGAGGAGGAGGCAGTTGAGTCCTGGTGGCAGGGGCTGCACACAGAGCTCCTCCACCCACTGCAAGGGCCAGGCTTGGATTGCCGTTTTGGCCCTTATGAGGAAGGAAGGGTTGGGACCTCCAGGGAAATGGGGCTAGGAAGATTAGGACCAGTGAGAGGCTGGATGCAGTGACTGGGTTTCTCTTCTTGAGAACTGATCTCAAAGGGGTGAGAGCAAGTGGGGCAAATGGGAAAAGCTTTAGCATAATAGGGTAGTCAGGCATCCAACACCAGAGGTGGAGGGTTGGGGGAGATTGGGTGAAGGGGATGCTGGTACCGAACCCCTATGTCTTAGTGGGACTGAGGGCACAAGAGAGAAGTAGAGGATCCAAGGTGAGACTATAGCTGTGAACTTGGACTGTTAACATCACTCTGCTGGGCTGATCCCGTGGCTCACTCGGGAGAGTACGGCGCTGGGAGCGCAGCGGTGCTTCTGCCACGGGTTCGGATCCTATATAGGGATGGCCGCTGCGCTCACTGGCTGAGCGCAGTGCAGGCGACCAAGCCAAGGGTTGCGATCCCCTTACCGGTCACAAAAAAGCAAGGGCCGAGCCCGTGGCGCACTTGGGAGAGTGCGGCACTGGAAGCGCAGCAGCGCTCCCACCACGGGTTCGGATCCTATATAGGGATGACCAGTGCACTCACAGCGCTCACTGGCTGAGCGCGGTGTGGCCGGTCTCAAAAAGGACAAAAAAAAAAAAAAAAAAACCAACATCATTCTGCTGAGCCTGTTTCCTCTTGGTTGTTTTATTAACTGACAAGAACACAATGAGGATTAAGTAATAAGATATACATGTTGTAGGTACTTATTGGATAATAGTGATTAATATGTTAGAAAAACAAATATTCTTTTAAAAATCCCAACCCTTCGGGGCCGGCCCGTGGCTCACTCGGTAGAGTGCGGTGCTAATAACACCAAGGCCATGGGTTCGGATCCTATATAGGGATGGCCGGTTTGATCACTGGCCGAGCGTGGTGCTGACAACACCAAGCCAAGGGTTGAGATCCCCTTACCGGTCATCTTTAAAAAAAAAAAAAAAAAAAAAAAATCCCAACCCTACCACTTCTTGTGATGTTGTCACTCACTTGTTCATCAAGTGATTGTGGAGCACCTAATGAGTGCCAGGCACCATGCCATGTGCTGGAGGTGCCATAGTGAGCAGGACTGACTTGTCCTCGCCCCAGTGGAACTTGATGAACAAGTTGAGCAGAGGCTCCTTGCTTGCCGTCCAGGTTGTCAGGTGCCCTGGGAGAGGCTGCGGGTGGGCAGGAGGTAGTGCAGCTGGTACCAGGCCACCCCTCCCTCTTCTTGCAGATTGAACCGGCCTCTGACCCTCTCAGAGAAGATCGTGTATGGACACCTGGATGACCCGGCCAACCAGGAGATTGAGCGGGGCAAGACTTACCTGCGGCTGCGGCCTGACCGCGTGGCCATGCAGGACGCTACAGCCCAGATGGCCATGCTGCAGTTCATCAGCAGTGGGCTGCCCAAGGTGGCTGTGCCATCCACCATCCACTGTGACCATCTGATTGAGGCCCAGCTCGGGGGCGAGAAAGACCTGCGCCGAGCCAAGGTGAGCTGCAGACATGTGGGTGTGATGTGGGATGAAAGGCAGAGCCCTCACACAGGGGCAACCCAGGGCACTGCCTTCAAATCCCAACGGGCCTTTTGGTTTAGTCTGTTTATAAGACTTGTTTTTGCTCTTTCTAATTCTAAAACTACCATTTGCACATTGTGAAGATGTTAAAAAAAATAGAGAGAGAGAGAGAAAGCCTAAAGAAAATAAGAATCAGCCTTAATCTTACCCCACTGAAGCTCCTTTTTGTGTTATGGTTGGTGGCTCTGCAGAGGGCAGTTTAGTTTCCCTTCTGCTTGAGCAGAGAGGGGCTTGTCCCAGCACATCTGTGCCAGCATTGCATGTATGCTCAACCCTGCTCTCTTGTGATCCTCAGAGGACCCTGTCAGTGAGGTGGGCCAGATGGTGTCCCTGTGTGTAAATTGGAGTCAGCCAAAGCACCATGCAGTCAGGTCCCACAGCTAATGAGGCTGTGATGAGGGCAAAACCTGGCCCCAGCTCCCACTGTAACACTCTCTCTTACCCATTAACCACCTCTGGGGGCCTTTCTTCTGCTGTGAGTTTTGCTTAACTAGACAGAAGTGGCTATATGCTATACAGAAGAGTTTTTTCCTTCAATTCCCCCCACCCTTCCTTATGAAATCAAATTCCTGCTCCTCCCAGGCTTGGCTGTGGTACCTTTGTGGGTGCCTACTCTTAACAATAGCAAGACTCTCTCTCCCAGCTCTGAGCCTCCCTGCTCTCCACCCCCTGCAGTGGGAGTGAGTGCCCCTGATGGGGGGCGTTTGGCAGAGGCTGAATGCTGGCAGGGCTACAGCTGGCAGGGGCAGAGTGGGGCATGAGATTGAAAGTGCTCTGGCTCCCAGGGTCAGCACGCCTCAAAGAGCTTCACAGTCCCATGGGAAATCCTGAGGGCAGCTTTTCCATTCGAGTTCTTTCTTTTCACCCTGGCCCACTGTTCTGTGTCCTGGTTGCACAGTGGCTCTTTTCCACTCAGCTCAAAGGAGAGTCCTGCCTGCTGGTGGTTTCCATGCTAGCAGTATCAGGGAAGGTAATGTTACAGGAGTTCCTGTGGTGCTGGGAGCTGCGCATGTCCAGGAACATGGGTCCTCTTCAGCCCTGGGGACAACTGCTCACAGTAGTACTGCTGCTTTCAGGGGCTGGCCCTCACCTTGCTTGGATTCAGAATCTACATTCTGGAGATGAGAGTCACAGAATAATAGGATTTCAGAGCTCATTCCCTCATCTATTCAACAAATTTGTTTTGTTTTGGGCAGCTGACCGGTATGGGGATCCAAACGCTTGACCTTGGTGTGTTACAAGGCGGCACTCTAACCAACTGAGCTAACCGGCCAGCCCCTATTCAACAAATGTTTATTGAACTTTTGTTTTATGCCAGGTACTGTGCTAGGTGCTGGGGGTCAGTGTGAAATAGACAGATGGGCTATGTCTTCATGGATCTTAGAGTCTAGTAGGGAGATGGATGCTAAACAATCACAGAAATAGGTCATTACAAATTTGGATATGTGCTTGGAAGAGAAAGTAAAGGACTCTGTGAGAGTATGAGAAAGAGGTCTAATTTAGATTTTGGGGGGAAAGGGACAGCCTGTTTGAGGATGGAACATATAAGCTGAGATATGAACAGGTAAGTCGATGTTAACTGGAGGAAGAATATTCTAGGCAGAACCACACATGCAAAGACCCTGAGGCAGGAAGAAGCTAGATGCTTTTGTGGAATTGAAAGGGGGCCTATAGTGGTGGAGCTGTGTATATATGTGGAAGAGAAGGTGGTATGAGGTGGGTGGGGCAGACAAGACCTTGAGGGCTGTGGGAAGGGCCCTGGGCACATCCTAGGAGTCATGGAAGGGGAAAGATATGGTCCATTTTCCATGAATTTGTAAAGAGTACTATGGCTAGGACCCAGAGAGGCAGAGTGACTTGTCCAGGGTCACACAGCCAGAAAGGCATCCAGGCTGAATTCAGGCTGAGACTTTGGGGCCACTCCCCCTTCCCATACTTGCACAAACACACATGCATGGGTGCCCAGACACATGGCCACAGCCTCCTGCCCTCAACACCAATTTTACAGGCAACTGATTTGTAAGGAAAAAGCCAGTATATTAATCATTAATTGGAAAGAAACTGCTCTGGGGACCCAAGTTCTTTGTCTGCCATTCTTTTACCTGGGGGAATTAAATAGGCCCTTAGAAGGATGCATGGCTGGTCCAGAGTTTAAATGAAGGGGATTGTGGGGTTTTGAGAGTATTTTATCTAGGGCCTGGGGGAGCTGACAGTGGGTCCCTTCTCTGCTGTGAAGCACGGCCCTCCCATGCCCAGAGGCTGGCAGGTCTCATTTCCTAGTTCTTCCTTTGGAACTCTGTGGAGTCCACAATGGTCCTGTGCCTTTTGTTACTGTGGTCAGTCTTACTTGTCCAGGGACAAGCCATGACTTCCATATGAACCCTGACCTCACATCAGCTGTGCTGTGGAACCTTTCCTGCCCTCTGAGGAAGCTGCCTTCAAATTGCAGGCAGAATGAGTGCAGCTCATCCCATCATTTTGTTTGGTTGAAATCCCATCATTTTGTTTGACCGCTTTATCAGGATAGTGCTCCATTTGACAGCCTTTCATTTGGGGCCCATCAAATATATTACCAAGTATTGAGCACCTACCACATGCCAGACCCTGGCCTAGGTGCTCTCTCTAATGTAGTCTCATGTCCTCCTCCTTAGAAGGAGGTAGCTTTATTGTGTATTAATATGTAACTCTTGTGTTCTGTGGTTGGACAGGCCTGGTTTTAAGTCCTGGCTCCTCTGTTTAATTCTGGGATCTCCAGCAAGTTATCTCACCTCTGAGCCTCTGTTTTGTATCTGTAAAATGGACTTGATGGCAGTAGCTTCCTCCTTCCCAGGTGTGTTGTGAGGATGTTTAGCATGGTGCCATTTCCACAGTGGACATTCAGGAAATGTCAGCTGGGATTACACGTCAGCTCAAATGAGGCATCCGAAGCTCAAATGGAGAATCAACACCCCATGGGAGCCATGGGTGGGACCGGGATGTCCTCTGATTCCACTGCATCCTTCTATAATACTGCCCTCAGCTCAGCACCTGTCCTAGGCAGACGGTCCTGCCGTGGCATGCGGCTTCATTGCTAGCCTGGGCTGGGGACTTGAGTGCCAGAGGAGCTCTTGGCCATTATTTAGCCCAGTTCCTTCTACAAATAAGGAAACAGACTCAGAGCAAAGTTTGGACTTGTTCTAGACCCACCTACCTGGCCAGGTGTCACAGAACTGGGGCTCTGCTCCCACGTCTTTCTCTCCGGGCCTGCCGGCTGAGACTGTGGCCAACATCCAAGCTGTTTTGGAATTATTTTTAGAAGGTCTCCAAGAAAGGGCCTGTCTTCACAGTGCCAGCATTTTGGAGTCATGTGGGAGGTGGGGTAGAGGAAGGAGGGCATGGCAGGGGTCACCTGAGACAGAAACTTTTACTAATGCTGTGGTTATTGTTTTTGTCTCAATAGGACATCAACCAGGAAGTATATAATTTCCTGGCTACTGCAGGTGCCAAGTATGGCGTGGGCTTCTGGAGGCCTGGATCTGGAATCATTCACCAGGTAAAGCAGGGCTCAGCTTGCCTTTCCAGGGGGCTGAGACCAGGCTGCACATAGGTAACCGGAGAGCACCTTCCTAGGCCTGCAGGAGCAGGGGACTCGAGGCTTAAGAAGGCTGAGGGGAAGCCAGATGATACCTCAGCCTGCTCTTAGGCTCCTCTTCCTTTGTTTTCAAATTAATTTGCATCGTGTCAAGTTATACATTCTCATTCTCCATGTAAGAAATTAAAATAATCCTTTCTAACCACCCAGGTAAACTAAAACTTTAAGTTTAACATGTTTCTTTCTACACCTTCTTCTAAGCATGTACTCAAGCATCTATATTCCTATAAACTATAATATAGAACATTGTATTATTTTCTGTGTTGTCTTTTTCCACAAGTGTTATTATTAACACTTATTGCATGATAGCTGACATCTGATGAGCACATACTGTGTGTCAGGTACTAGACCTAGCACTTTAAAGATATTAACTTATTCATTGCCCATCATAACCCCATGAGGTAGGTGGTTTTATTGTCCACACCTTACAGTTGAGGAAACTGAGGCATAGAGAAGTTAATGTAACAGAAGGCAACAGAACCTCAGACTTTGACTGGCTCATTTCCCACTCCTCGGATTCTTTTTGGCCCTTTTGTGGTATCCTGTAGGATGGAGGTACCATGGATCACGTGGCCGTGTCAGCCAGGGGTCCTTCTTTGGGGTATCTCCAAGGATGGCTTTTCTTTTAATAGACAGTTTTGTCTCTGTAAATGTAAGTGTGGGTACGTGTGTTTCTGGGGAAGTAAGTATGAAACCTGCCTCTTTGCACCTTTCCAAGGTGACCCTTCTCCCCACCTCCCTCCTGGGCCTCTTCAAGATGAGCTGAGTCAGACTGTAACCCAACCCTTTGTGAGCTCCCACCACTGCCCCACTCTGAAACAAGAGCCAACAGCAGGTCACTACTCTGTGTTTTCAAACTATCACCCTTGGAAGGGGCTGCCTGGAAGTGGCAGTCACATCAGCCTGTGGGGACCCGAAAGCCTCTCTGCAGCAGGGTTAGGGAGTCAGGTGGACCCAGCCTTGACCTTCTTTTATGCAGGACACCCCAATTCAGGTGTCTCCCATTCTATCTCAGTACAAATGCCCAAGCCTTTTTGGCAGCTTCTGGGCCAAAGTTTGGGCCTATAAGAGATGGCATCTCACACCTGCCACTGGCCACCTGCTAGGTGTACAGCCTGATGTATTTGTTCCTTTAAAAGGAAAATCCCAGAGACCATGTAAGTACTGTGCAACTTTACTTTTCTCTCCCTCTTGACATCAGGCCATCAGCAGCTGTAACCCACTGCATCCAAACCAGACCTTGACCTCCTTGCTTCCACTTCAAATGCCCGTCCCTGGTTGGCCTGGCAGATCCTCCTCCTCCACATCTCAGCTTTCTGATTTCCTCTGTGAAGCCTCCCTGCCCCTCCCCGTGCCCAGTATCAGAGCTCCCTTGTGTGATCCTCTATGGGACCCCTTCACCTTGTGTTCCCAGTGTGTACTCTGCGGGGACAAGGACTGTGACGTATTTTTTCCTCTCTAGCTCTGAGCCTGGGGCCAAGTTGGTTCAGAATAGTATTCGTGTGTGGTGTATGGATGGATGGCCGAATTTCCACTTTTATGTTTTAGATGTTAGTCCAGCCTAAAGTACACCTCCCCCACCCTCATCCCCATCTGCCCAGCCATATCCACAGACCAGTGAGGTCACTGTCACGACCAGCTTCATGGCGATACTTTCTGCAGTCCTCGGGTCTGCATTGACCTCTCTCTTTTGGATGTGGATCACACTTGTGTCTGCACCATGTAGACCGTCCTGAATTCTGTGTTCAGTCCTCATTGATCGGACTTTTATAACTTTGAGGAGCTTTAAGGATTAACTAGTCTTAAATCTTTGTACATGGCTGAGGCAAGGGAGGGCCAGAGAAACGAAAGGTTAAGCAGCGTTGGCCTGTTCTTCCTAGCCAGCTACCACACTCCTGGGGAGGGAGCCAGGTCTTCTGACTTTGTGTATCCCCAAGAGGTAAGACCCCTTGTTCTTGCTGAGTCTGCTAGGCAGATCCCTTACCTGAGGCAGAGGCCTTTGGGCTTCTCTGTTGTTCCAGAGAGCTGCCCACCCTTCACCCGGTCCTCTGATCACATCCCTGATCTCCTTTTTCTTCCCAGCATCCGTGGGTGGGGGCATAATTCCACCAGACAGATGAGCAACAGAACCTCAGATGAAAGACATTGCTGCAAAATAATAAAAGTATTGCCTCTCCCAGGCACTATTACATGCTTAATATACACGATCTCATGTAGTCATCGCAATGATCCAGTGAGGTGAGCACTATTGCCAGCTGCTTCTTACAGAAGAGGAAACTGAGGCTTGGAGAGGTGAAGTGACTTGCCCAAGGTCCCACAACTACTAGTAGGTGGTGGGGCCAGAATTCAGACCCAGGGTGCAGGCTGTTGCCCTATGCCCTTCCCAGTAGTATCTTGCAGCCTCAGAGTGTCCAGCACCTGAGAGGTGCCTAGGTGGTGGGCAGGGCCACACTTGGTGGTGACCCTGGACCTCTACTGCCTTTCTCCTCAAATGTTTTGGGGAAAACGCTCGCCCCCTGGGCCTTCCCAGCTAGGAGGAGAGCCTTGATGAAGGGAACGCTGTGAAATAGGACAGGTGAGAGGCAAGTTGTCGTCTTTTCTTGAGCCAGTCACTTCAATTCTCAGAGCCACCTCCAGGATACTGAAGTTGGGAAGGCGTCACCTCTATTTCTTTACAGTTGAGGAGTAGAAAATCTCGTGCTTTTGTGCTCCCAGTGGGTCCCCAGTACTTCTTCCTTAGGTGTGTTGTAGGGACTGGAGCCAGTTCATAAGAACTGTCCACCCTGACAAAGCCAGGTAGACACAATCCACACCCTGGACAGTCCGCCACCAGAGAATGTCAGCAGTAGCATCTTTCAGCAGTTACACTTGTCACTGGGCCCATCACAAGAAACGCTCTTATATTGCCAATTTATCTGGTTCTTGCCCCATGCTTGGGTTAAGATGGTGTGAGTGTTTTTGTTACTATGCTGCAAATGAGGAAACTCAGGCACAGGAGGCATTTACAGGCCCAAGCCAGACAGCAGCAACCATCATGTAGGCCAGGCCACCTGTCTCCCCCGACTGGCTCTTCCTGGCCACGCTGGAGATGGCCTGTATTAAATAGGGCTACCGCCACTGATCCCATCCTGGAGGAGTGGCTGGGCATGGCCAGGTGACCAGTGTTAGTGGGGGCAGTTTTATAAACCCCTATTGGGTTCTATCCCCATTCTTTGCTAAGGGGTTCTAAGCTTATGATCTTGGATTCTTTTTCAGATCATTCTGGAAAACTATGCATACCCTGGTGTTCTTCTGATTGGCACTGACTCCCACACTCCCAATGGTGGTGGCGTGGGGGGCATCTGCATTGGAGTTGGGGGTGCTGATGCAGTGGACGTCATGGCTGGGATCCCCTGGGAACTGAAGTGCCCCAAGGTGAGGGGTAGGGAAGGACTCACTCTGGGCTGGCTGCAGGGGGTGGGTGGTAGGGAAGAATGAGAGACTGTGGGACCCAGAAGGATGAGGGAATAGGTCAGGCTCAAATGTCTTTGGAGGGGACAGGGGTAAATAAGCAGAAATGGTATTATAACACCAAGGTCAAGGGTTTGGATCCCCATACCAGCCAGCTGCCAAAAAGAAAAAATAATAAGCAGAAACATGAATGCCCTCAGGTCGACTCCTTGACATCCTGGTGGGACATGGCCACAAGGCACGCAGGACCTATAATTGCCCTCTCATCCTGTCTCCTATTCAGGTGATTGGTGTGAAGCTGACAGGCTCCCTCTCTGGTTGGACCTCACCCAAAGATGTGATACTGAAGGTGGCAGGCATCCTCACGGTGAAAGGTGGCACAGGCGCTATTGTGGAATACCATGGGCCCGGTGTAGACTCCATCTCCTGCACTGGTGAGGAAGGCAGCTGCATGACGCGGCCCTCGCCCTGCACTGGGCCTACTGGGACCTGCAGTTGAGCAGCAGGAAGTGCAGTGAAAGGACTTCCCCTGAGAGTCTGTCCAGTCAGTGTGCGGACTTGCGATAGACACTTAGAGGTAGAGGCGAGACTGGAGACAACCCTAGGATTGTCTAGTCCGGGCCCCTTGTTAAACAGATGAAGAGATTGAGACCCCCCTCGAGGAGTCAGGTAACTTCCCTGTGGTCACACACAGGGGGCCGAGCCAACTTCTGCTGCTGGGCCCTGGCCATAGCACAGGGCTGCCTTGGGTGAACTGGAAGAATTCCAGAGAGGACAGGGGTAGTGGTGGGAATGGGCAATCAGAGCCAGGCCATGCACAAAGCAGCTGCAGTCCCACATCTTCCCTTGGCTGGAGTTTGAGCCTTGCTCACTTCCCTGGGATTAGAAGATTATTGCCTGTTAGTCTTCAGGACCAGGTAGGAGCCAGCCTCTTCCTACCTATCTGTCCTGGAGTCCTGGCCTCAATGCCCAGACCCTCAGAAATCCAGGGAAACTTGGAACAAGCCTTCGAGATTATCCATCCAAGCTTCTCAGCTGCCTTCCTCATCTCCACAGCAGCCCCACAGAACTGCTGTACCCCTCCAGGGATGGGGGCTAACTCTTACTGCCATGGGACAGCTCAGGTGGGAAGTTGATAACAGGCCCATACCTGTGTCCCAGCAGCCTCTTGAGGCAGGTGTTCTGACAGCGGTCGGGATATCAGTGAGACTCACTAGTTTGGTATGATGCTCTGTAGTCCAGACAGTGGATGTCATTCTAGTCTTACTGCTGTAAAACCTGAGCCCCAGAAAAATGTCCACATAGCACCATGGTGTGGCTGAAAGAGGATAAGATACCAGCCAGACAGACCTAGACCTGAGTGCCAGCACCTACATTTATTTGCTTTATGGCATGACCTTGGACCTCTCTGAGTGAGTTCCCTCACCTGCAAAGCAGTAACAACCAGGTGGTGTCTGGCCAGCTCAGCCTACAGGGCAGGGTGGCTGTCTGGTCTGCCCAGCAAGACAGCAAGGCCCAGAACTAGAACTCAGCTTGTGGAAGCTGAATCTTGGGTCCTCTTCACTCTACCCAGTGGCCATTCTGAGAGCTGGAACACTGAGTGCTGGCCCCCGTGGCCTCCCTTCACTGGCCTTGGTTTTAACCCTGGGCCTAAGGGATGAATCCACTGCCACCAGGTGGCCCTGTGAGTGAGGGAAGACATGATGCAGCTCCCTGGGGTGGAGATGTGTGTGCAGGTGTGTGGGAGCCATGGCCAGCTGTTCAGCCTGCCCCACGGGCTGTTTCTCCACAGGCATGGCGACAATCTGCAACATGGGTGCAGAAATCGGGGCCACCACCTCAGTGTTCCCTTACAACCACAGAATGAAGAAATACCTGAGCAAGACTGGTCGGGCAGGTGAGCTAGAGGGGGAGGGTGGTGTGGGCAGAATAGTCATTTTGCATACTCCTCCCCAGGAAACAGAGCTGCCCTCCCCTTAGGGCATGGGTCCTTAACCTGGTATCAGACTGGCTTCAGAGACTCCCAGAAGCCCCTAAAGGTGTATGAAAGGTTAGGTGTCTGTTATTGTTTCTGAGTAGGGTGTCAATAGCTCTCTTAAGCTTTTTTTTTTTTTTTTTTTTTTTTTTTTTAAAGATGACTGGTAAGGGGATCTTAACCCTTGGCTTGGTATTGTCAGCACCACGCTCTCTCAAGTGAGCTAACCGGCCATCTCTACGTAGGGATCCGAACCCATGGCCTTGGTGTTAGCACCACACTCTCCCAAGTGAGCCACATGCCAGCCCTCATCTCTCTCAAGCTTTTGAAGGGCAGGGCATCTAAGTCTGAGATACCCCTGCCTCACCTGGAAGGGTGGTTTTCTTGGCCTGGTCCCTGGTGTCCCCTACAGGAAGCTTTGGAAATGACATGGGTCTCTCCTGTTTGTGATTCCTGCCATTGCAGGGGGAGGGAGAAAACCATTCAGAAAAAGAACTACCTTCCCAACCTCCTCCCCTCCCCCCAACTTCCCTGAGGGTCTAGTTTGCCTTCTTTGAAGCTTAGAGGAGGAAGTGGGGTGCTGGAGCCAGGCTAGGGGGTGTGGGGAGGGCTCCTCAGTTTTTTGCTTCTAAGCTCTAGGCACATGAGTCCCACCTTGAAGGCCCTTCCCTCCCTTTCTTTATTGAGTGACTTCTCCTCCTTTACCACTCAGCTCTTCATTTCCTGGAAGCCTTCCCCAACTCTCAACCTCAGCCAGTACCTCTTCTCTGTGTCCCTGTGTGTGTCTCTGTTGTATGGTATTGTAACCTTCAGCTCACTGACAGCTCCTTAAGGGCAGGGACAGTGTCCTGTGCTGTTTGCTTCGTTCCTTTGTTGGGCCCGTCAGTGCCCAAGGCCTAGTGTTTGGCGGGTGCCAGGTAACTATGACTCAGTTGGATGGATGGATGAAATCTCAAGACCAATTTCTGTTTCCCATGCTTCAATACCTCCCTTGTTGCTTTCAGACATTGCCAGTCTAGCTGATGAATTCAAGGATTACTTGGTACCTGACCCTGGCTGCCATTATGACCAAGTGATTGAAATTAATCTCAACGAGGTAAGGAAGGAAATTGGGTTCAAGGAATTTTTGAGGGTGGGGATACTGCTTTCTTGGCACTGAAGGGGCCAGGGCAGGTCCTGCCTGCATACCCAGCAGGGCTCCTGGGCCCTTGGGTCCCCAATGCCCCTGCAAACTGTTGCCTAATCAGGCTGAATGGGGGGTGGGGTGGGAGGAGGGAGATGTTGCCATGAGGAGAGCAGAGGTGGCTGTGGCTGGTGAATCAGAAACTGGGGTCAGTTTGCCCCACCTCAGCTTTAGCAGAAACCAAGATTTTGCCCTCCAGGGTTTGGCACCCTGATACCTACAGGCCAAAGCAAGTATTGGGAGAGCCAGGAGAAAGGCAGTCTGGACGAACAGAAACCAGTCGTCATGAGTTCAGTCCCAGCTCTGCTCTGTGACATACATTAGGCCATGTGACCTTGGGCAGTTACTTAACCTCTGTGGGCCTCACTTCATCATGTGTAAAACCTAACGCAGTCGTGAGAGTTAAATGAGTTAATTCATGTAATAACAATCACTCGTTTATTGAGTGTTTACTGTGTGCCAGGCACTTGGCTAAATGCTTCACATTTATTAATGTATTATCGCATGCAAAACATCTGGTCTTAAGTCCATTTTGTCATAAGATTCCAAAAGCAACATAGTATGGGAGATAATGGACTTATGAAGCAGACAACCTTGATTCATTCCATGCCTCTGCCACATTCTAGCTATGTGACCTTGAAAGCAAGGCAGGTCACCTCAGTTCCTTCATCGCAGAGTAGAGATAAGACCAGCCTTGGAGGGCTGGAGGAGCTGGTGTGTGTGCAGTGCTGACTGTGCAGGTGTTTCCTGTGATGAGGTTTGGCCATAAGAACAGCACTTGGCCTCTCTCTGCAGGGACCTGATGAGGCTGTGGACAGAGGCTGTCCACACCCCAATATTTGTTCCTTCCTCTCTCTCTCTTTTCCTGGGGTCTTCGTTTCTTTAGTTGAAGCCTCACATCAATGGACCCTTCAGCCCTGACTTGGCTCACCCTGTGGCCGAAGTGGGCACTGTGGCGGAGAAGGAAGGATGGCCTCTGGACATCCGAGTGGGTGAGCACCTTCCAGCCTGTCGGTCTCAGGGCCAGTGGCTGTGCCCAGGGCTGCAGGCAGTCACCTGTGCTTACCGTGTGGCGCTTCCTAGAGCAGGCACTTTCTGAAGTTGGGTTATCATTAAAAAATTTACTTTTTCCTGGTATAAAGAAAAATATGCTTATTGTAGATAATATTTACAAACAAGAATTTAATAACACCCCTAATCTCAACCCCCACCGAAAAAAGCTCTAGGAGCTCTTTGAGGGGTATGCTGTGTTTCTCTGTACATGCATATATTTATGTGTATATATTTCTCTGTCTTACAAGCATTTAATCATCTCAACCATGCTGCTTTATTTCCTTTATGTGCTAGACATATGTGGACATACTGGTACGTCAGTGTCATTGGTATGTTTTGCTGTCATGAGGTCATACAATGTGGCTGAGAAGTGTGTCTCCCCTGGGCCAGATGATCTAGGTTTGAATCCTGGCTCTGCCACTTAATAGCTGGCTGGCCCTGAGACAGCTCCTTCACCGTCTGTGCCTGGGTTCCCCATCTGTAAAACAAGAGTGATAGCTGGACTTCCCTTTAAAGTTGTGGGGAGGAATGATGACTGAATATGTGAAAAGAGCTTTCTACAGTGTCTGGCATAAAATAAGTGCTATATAATGTGTTCACGCTTATTAGTTGAAGTAAATTTTTAAAACTCTTTGGTTTAATAATTAGGAAGTAAGTTGCTGAATTGATAAGAGAGACTGTCTTGATCTATAGACAGTGTGTGTTGTTCAGTTTTTCATTCAGTTTTTATTGACTTTTTGAATAACTGATAAACATAAATAAACAAATTAATTAATTAAATAATTTTTTTAAAAAAAAGTAGACTGGTGAGGGGATCTTAACCCTTAACTTGGTGTTGTCAGCACCACGCTCTCCCAAGTGAGCCAATCAGCCATCCCTATATGGGATCCGAACCCATGGCCTTGGTGTTATCAGCACCACACTCTCCCAAGTGAGCCACAGGCCAGCCCTGTGATAAACTTTTTTTTTTTTTTTTTCCTTTTTGTCTTTTTTCGTGACCGGCAATGGATTGCAACCCTCAGTGTCACGCCCGTACCGGACCGGGACCAGCAACGGGATCGGCAACGGGATCGCAACCCTCGGTGTCACGCCCGCCCCTCGCTCAGCCAGTGAGTGGCTGGTCTGTATGTGGGATCCGAACCCTCGGCGGGAGCACCGCCGCGCTACCAAGCGGCGCACTGTAGCAGTGCGCCACAGGGCCGGCCCTGTGATAAACTTTTTAAAAAGAATTTTCAGGGCCGGCCCGTGGCTCACTTAGGAGAGTGTGGTGCTGACGCCACCAAGTCAAGGGTTAAGATACCCTCACCAGTCATCTTTTTTTAAAAAAAAGTGGGGGGAGACCCCCTGGTGCACTCGGAGAGTGCGGTGCTGGGAATGCAGTGGCACTCCCACTGCGGGTTTGGATCCTATATAGGGATGGCCGGTGTGCTCACTGGCTGAGCGCGGTGCGGGTGACACCAAGCCAAGGGTTGCGATCCCCTTACCGGTCACAAAAAATAAAAAATAAAAATAAAAAATAAAATTAAAGGGGCCGGCCCGTGGCTCACTCGGGATAGTGTGGTGCTGATAACACCAAGGCCACGGGTTCGGATCCCATATAGGGATGACCGGTTTGCTCACTGGGTGAGCGTGGTGCTGACAACACCAAGTCAAGAGTTAAGATCCCCTTACCGGTCATCTTTTTAAAAAATTAAAAAATAGGGCCGGCCCCATGACGCACTTGGGAGAGTGCATAAAAAATATTGGAGGGGCCGAGCCCGTGGCGCACTCGGGAGAGTGCGGCACTGGGAGCTCAGCAGAGCTCCAGCCACGGGTTTGGATCCTATATAGGGATGGCCGGTGCGCTCACTGGCTGAGCGCGGTGCAGCCGGTCTCAAAAAAGGACAAAAAAAATAAAAAATATTGGAAAGTACAAAAGAAAATTAGCATCTCCTACCAGTCCCCACCCAGCAATGATCACTGTAAATATGTTAGTATAAGCCCTCTAATAGGCATACACATGCACACGATATTACTGTAAAAATGGGTTATATTACTAACCTGTGTTAAGTGTCATGGTCAATGGTTACAGTGTCTTTTCTCAAATGACTATGTCATGAGAAGCCTGTCCTTTATTTTTTGATATTTGGGTTGTTTCCAATTTGTCTGTTCAAAACAGTCTCTGGCCTGGCTCAGCCCAGTTGGTGAACTGTTTTGACCAGGTCTGGATGGTTTGAGGACAGGTGGAGACCTCTGGTCACTGTTTCCTCCTAATCCCTGACCCCACCACCCTCAATGCACCAGGTCTGATTGGCAGCTGCACCAATTCGAGCTATGAGGACATGGGACGCTCGGCTGCTGTGGCTAAGCAGGCACTGGCACATGGACTCAAGTGCAAGTCACAGTTCACCATCACACCGGGCTCCGAGCAGATCCGTGCCACCATTGAGCGGGATGGCTACGTGAGTGCCCATGTGCCCCTGCTCCTTGCCCCCACTCCCCAGCTGATGAGTAATGTGGCTTCAGGATGGGACAAGCCACAGTGTTGGGCAGGGGCTGGTCAGGTCCCATCAGCAACTTGCCTGCCGCTGACAGTTCCCTGTCCTCCTCTCCCTGCAGGCACAGATCCTGAGGGATGTGGGCGGCATCGTCCTGGCCAATGCCTGTGGCCCCTGCATTGGCCAGTGGGACAGGTGAGAGGCCCATCTTTGATAGGACAACCCCTTGTGTACTGGGGTACAGAGCCCCAGAAATTGAAGGGAGACATTACTAAGGTGGAGAAAATCAACTCAAGCCCCAGGACCTGTTGTACATTAGAAAACTTTGCCAGACATAATTGGCAGTAAAGAGCAAGAGCCCTGCCAAGGCACCAAGTGGCCACTTGGCTGAAGCCTGAGCTGGCAGGAAGAAGCCAGCAAGGCCTCATCCTAACAGAACACAGCTGGGAGCCCCGACAGAGCCATTTAAGAGGAGGCAGTGGCCCCAGCTTGGGAAACTCAGGCCTTGATCTGTGCTCCGTCTGTGTCTTACATGTGGTCTCAGGCAAGGCCCAGTGATCCTGAGGTTCCCTCCTGTTATGTATGCGTGAGTCCCAGGGAGGAGGTAACCTTTTCAGGGTCTTCCCATTTCCCCCTCCTCTATTATGAGCCAGGCAATGTGCTGCAGGAACCGGCCTATCAGGCCTCATGTGACAAGGCGTGATATCCCTTACCCTGTCCCCTCTGACCTCACACGTGAGTCCCAGGGAGGAGGTAACCTTTTCAGGGTCTTCCCATTTCCCCCTCCTCTATTATGAGCCAGGCAATGTGCTGCAGGAACTGGCCTATCAGGCCTCATGTGACAAGGCGTGATATCCCTTACCCTGTCCCCTCTGACCTCACAGAAAGGACATCAAGAAGGGGGAGAAGAATACAATCGTCACCTCCTACAACAGGAACTTCACAGGCCGCAACGACGCAAACCCTGAGACTCATGCCTTTGTCACATCCCCAGAGGTGAGACTGCCCAGCCAAGCTAGCCTGAGAGCCCTGCTCCTGGCAGGTCAGAGGGGAGACACAGGGCCTGGGGCAAGAGCAGCCGAGCTCACAGGGATGCTGAGGGAGGGTTGGCATTGTGGGGCAAGGGATTATCCAAGTGGAAACCAAGAGCCAGGGGCCTTCCCAGCCCCATAGCATCATGGTCCCTTGGCACTTACTGCCTGGCTCTCCTCCTGTCGCAAGATTGTGAGATATTTATTTCGTACAGTTAGTGGTTATGAGCATGGAATTTGGAATCTCACTGCCTGGGCCAAATCTTGGCCCTGCCTCTAACCAGGTGCGTGAGCTTGGCCAAGTCACTTGCCTTCTGTGTGCCCCAGTAGTCCTGTCAGCACTGTATGTGAAGACAACTTTCAGTTTCTGATCCAAAGTAAGAGTTCAAAAAAAGTGAGGCTGGCTGGCTAGCTCAGTCGATTAGACCGTGGTGCTGGTAACGCCAAGGTCCAGGGTTTGATTCTTGTACCTGCCAGCCTCCAAAAAAAAAAGTTAGGCCTCGCTGCTGCTTGTGGGCATTGAGTGAGCTGGAGAGCCCAGGCACTTGGTGGGTGTTCAGCCTCAGCCATCACTGGCACATGGCCAGTGTCCCTTGCCTTGCTTATTTATAAGTGTTCCAGAAACTCTTTTGCTTGCTAAAGAAGTGAAGGAATGGCCCCTTCCATGTTTTCAGCGTGCTACCCACTTAGGAACATTTTTATTGCAGCAGCGTTTCTATGCCAGGGCCTGTGCCTGCTCCGGCCAGGAGTGCATGTAACAGCAGTGACCCAGTCCTGAGGAGAATGCCAGGCTCCAGGCCCCAGTGGGAGTGGTAGAGGCCATGTAGCCCTTGGGTTCCTGAGTCCTCTGCAGGACCCTGGAACATGGAAATTTCCTGGGTTCCATTCTGTTTTGGTCCAAGCTTCTGCTGAGGTGGAGAGAATAGGAGTGGCATTTGGTGCTAACCAACAAACCGGACACCTCCATTTCAGATTGTCACAGCCCTGGCCATTGCGGGAACCCTCAAGTTCAATCCAGAGAGTGACTTCCTGACAGGCAAGGATGGCAAGAAGTTCAAGCTGGAGGCTCCAGATGCAGATGAGCTTCCCCAAGCGGTGAGCAGGCGCTGCCACCCTCTGCTGTTAATCACCACCGGTCTGCCTCGGTCTGGATGCCTCAGGGTCACTGCCAGTTGCTGTGTGGTATTTCCCTCCCAACATCCCAGCACCTGGGTCTGGCCTCTCCTGGGCAAGCAGGGATGGCATCATTAACGAGATCAAAGCAGCTGTATTCCCTGGGAGAGAGAGGCCCAGGCCCCGGGGCAGCTTGCCTTCTATGAGAGCCCATTCATGTGGGGACTGAGGATTTGGCACCCAACACATCCCCATCCCCTGCTGCAGGAGTTTGACCCGGGGCAGGACACCTACCAGCACCCACCCAAGGACAGCAGTGGGCAGCGGGTGGACGTGAGCCCCACCAGCCAGCGCCTGCAGTTGCTGGAGCCTTTCGACAAGTGGGATGGCAAAGACCTGGAGGACCTGCAGATCCTCATCAAGGTCAGCAGCGGGGGTGGGGGAGGCAGAAAGAGAGGCTTGGCTGCAGAGAAGAGAGGGCATCACAGTCTGGTGTTGCCTGTCTCCACAGTCCAGCTGGGTGGAGCTGGATCTGGCCAGCTGCTGTCTGGGCGCTCAGCCACCTGGCAGCAGCTGGTGAGAGTCACCTCTAGCACATACAGACAGGTGAATGCAGCAGAGGCAAGGCAAGGTCACGTGAGACTGCACAGCAGGTTTCCACACCTCTGGCTTGACCACACAGGCTCCTGAAGCCATTGATTCTTCCTGCCCCCTCAGTGGGACATTAGTGGGAGCTGAGCAAACACTAGCCTTTGTGGTGTGGCCAGAGGCCTCAGAGCCATGTCAGACGTTAATTTATGCTGTTTACTAAGGGGTCTCCAGGCACTTCTGTGATAGTTAGTATAAAGCCCATGTGACAGATGAGACTGATCAGTCACCATCCAGGTCCCAGACATATCCAGGGCCCTTTTGTCTGTGTCTGCATGAGGTCTGTGGCTGATCCAGCCTGGGCATCACTTAGCTGGGGCCTAGGCCTGAAGGGTGGGCAAACCAATGTCCCTGTCCTCCCTGTCAGCCTGTGCCTCCTTTGAGTGGCCTGTCCAATGAGGAAGTGTCCTGTCCTGGAGACTGAGCAGTCTGGGGCCTCTGAGGGGTGGGTGATGGCCTTGCCTGTGCCCACTTGGCCTGAGTGCAGCAGCGTCGGGACCACAGACCACGTGTCCACAGCCTGACCTGCTTCTCTCATTGCCCCTCCTGTGTCCCGGGTGCTGGGGCCTCTGGAAGGCTTCTCCTTTCATCCACCATTCAAGGGCCACACCCTACCTCTCTCCTCTCTGCGCACCCCCCAAGGTTAAAGGGAAGTGCACCACTGACCACATATCAGCTGCTGGCCCCTGGCTCAAGTTCCGTGGGCACCTAGACAACATCTCCAACAACCTGCTCATTGGTGCCATCAACATCGAAAATGGCAAGGCCAACTCCGTGCGCAATGCCATCACCCAGGAGTTTGGCCCTGTCCCTGACACCGCCCGCTACTACAAGGTAGGTCATCAGTGATGGGGAGCAGTGCTTGACACCACTCTCCTGAGGGCCTGGAGGGCAGGCACGGGGAGGACATGAGGGGAGTGGGAGCTGGGGAGGAGGCCAGCCAAGCCCAGAGGGAATTGTCCTCCGGAAGGAAGGAGGGAAGGAAAGGCCTTCAGCTGCTCTCTTGTGGCAGAGAAAGAATGAAGCTCAGCTCAGGTGGGTGGAGCTGGGGCGTGCACCCAGGAGGCACTGCCCAGGAGCAGTTAGAGAAGCTCTCAGGAGGTGTTTGGCCTCAGACCCAAGAAGAGGGTTGAAGGACATCTCGTAAGAGAGGAATAGGGACTGGCTCAGGCAGAGGCAAACAGGCTCAGAGAAGAAAAGGGCCACACAAGGCCACACACACGAGCAGGCAGAGGGGGTCTGAGGCCAGCGCTGGAGCTGGGGGTGGGGGTAAGATCGGGGGACAAGGCTGGAGAAGCAGAGGTGCCACCAGGGGCCAGAACTATTCCCTTTTTCTGCTTTGAAAAACTGAGAGAACCAGGGCTGAACCTGAGTCCTAGTGTATCAGGGTGAGGGTCCTCTGGCACCCCCTCGTGGCTTGGCAGGTAGAGTGGGTGCTCCAGGGAAGGTGTGCTCCCCAACCAGGAGCCCATACCACTGGCTCTGCAGTGACTGCTGTCCCTATGCTGTGGGGGCAGCCCCGTACCTCTCGCCCCTACCACATGCTACTCTGGGCTGTGGTCCTGCACTGTAGCCCTCACACACCCCTGCCTCCTGTGGAACACTGACGGGTGGCATGGCAGGCACACAGGGCTGGGTCTGATCCACCTCTGTCCCTTCGTGGCCTAGTTTGGGCCTGATTCACCTGATTTTACCCGCCCTTGGGCAGGTGAGGAAGGGCGTCTCCAGCCCCAACTCCGGAGCCTCAGGGTGCGCAGGGGCAGTGGGGGGCAGGGCCCACCTCTGCCTCATAACCTCACCCCTGCTTGCCTGACAGAAACACGGCATCAGGTGGGTGGTGATTGGAGATGAGAACTACGGCGAGGGCTCGAGCCGGGAGCACGCAGCATTGGAGCCTCGCCACCTCGGGGGCCGGGCCATCATCACCAAGAGCTTCGCCAGGATCCACGGTGAGCTACAGCTCACATCCAGCCCATCTGCTTCCTCTCACCAACGGCCCAAGGTCACCCACCCCGCCAGTGGCCTGGTTGGGCCTGGAGCTATATGCCTGGCCCCCAGGCTGTGCCCGCGGCTCCTGAGTCCCCCACAGCCCACCGGCTGTCAGCCCCTGCCCCATCTCGGGTCTGCCCTGTACGAGTGTGATGCCCACAGCCTCCATCCCACAAGCATGTCCTGCTGCCCAACTTGTAGACCTAAGCGGCTGAGATCCAGGACACAGCCCAAGGGTTTTTCCTGATTGTGGGTGTGGCTATCAGGAAGGCCACACAGACACATCAGTGCCAGCCAACGCACACTTGTTTCGGTGCCTCAGGGAAGGGAGCACCTCCTGGGAGTGGAGCAGATCTGGGCCTTGCCACTGCCCCAGGATTGTCCCAGGTGTAAGGACTAGGGCTGTGTCCCAGAGGACTTAGAAAAGGAAGCTCTCTGGGCTGGTGAGCTTCCCCGTGCAAAGGAGGGGGAGGAGGAGGGGGCACTGGCCCCGTTGACTGAATGTGCCCTCCGCCTTCCAGAAACCAACCTGAAGAAGCAGGGCCTGCTGCCCCTCACCTTCGCTGACCCAGCCGACTACAACAAGATTCACCCCGTGGACAAGCTGACCATTCAGGGCCTGAAGGATTTTGCCCCTGGCAAGGTCAGAGGAGGGCAGCAGGCCGAGGCCCTCCTGAGGGGTGGGGGGTGGGGGTTGGGGGGGCAGCCACCTTGCTCCAACTGCTGCTCTTCCCATAAACCTTTGTTCCAGCTGGAAGGGCCCTTAAATTCTCCAGGCAACCCCCCTAGGGGGGAAGGGAAGTTCCCTTCCACTCCTTTTTTTTTTTTCCCTTTTTGTCTTTTTTCGTGACCGGCAACGGATCGCAACCCTCAGTGTCGCGCCCGTACCGGACCGGGACCGGCTATGGGATCGCAACCCTCGGTGTTGCTCCCGCGCCTCGCTCAGCCAGTGAGCGGCCGGTCTGTATGTGGGAACCGAACCCTCGGCGGGAGCGCTGCCACGCTTCCCAAGCGGCGCACTATAGCAGTGCGCCACCGGGCCGGCCTTTCCTTCCACTCCTGACTCCCCACTCAGCCCAGGCTAGGCACACAGCCCATCCCTCCTCAGGACCCTCTGGGCTCCAGGAGCCCCCATGGGTACCACCCAGCTCTTACCAGGGCCAGCCAGGCTGACCTGGCCTAGGACTTGGCTTGCCTGCTGGCCTCCCAGGCCCCAGGGCAGTGGCCTGCCTTCCTGTCCCTCCTGCAGAACCCAGGGCTGTGTTCCCAAGAGTACCCACCACTTTGCACCTACATCCGCCCCCCTTCCCTTGCAGCCCCTGAAATGCATCATCAAGCACCCTAACGGAACCCAGGAGACCATCCTCCTGAACCACACCTTCAACGAGACCCAGATCGAGTGGTTCCGCGCCGGCAGTGCTCTCAACAGAATGAAGGAGCTGCAGCAGTAAGGCCCATGCTCTCCCCAACCCGCCCACCTCTGGGACACAGCGCTGGTGTCATTTACAAGTGCAGTTCCACCTGTGTCATCAGAGCCAGATCTGATCCATCCTGCCATGGCTTCTTGCTCCAAGATGGTGTGACCAGACATGTTTCCTGCCTCCCCTCCCTCAGACAGAGTGACTACGGTTGGGGGGTTCTTAAAATAACTTTTTAGCCTCTGCCTTCTCATTTTTAGTTTGGTTCTGATCTTAAGCAGCTCCATGCAACTGTATTTATTTTTGATTATAAGACTCTCGTCTAAAGTTTTTCTCCTGCCTGATCATTTCACTGGTGGCTGAAGGATTTAGAGAACCTTTGTTCTCACACGGAAAATAAGAATCCAAATTCAATGAGTATTCTTGTGTGTGAGTGGTTAGTGTCTGTGCTGTTTTTTATCAACTCCAGGGTTCATGGAAGGTCTTTTCAGCCAAGGTCAGTGGAGACCTGATAGCCATGGCCACAGCTGGACGCCGTCACTGTAGCAGAGACATGAGCCGTGGCAGAAAAGACTGCCCCACCATCTCCTTCCCCAGCCCACTTCCACCTGCAGGGCAGCCCTGCTCCCATGTTCCTGTAGCTTCTCTGGTAGGCCAGGAGCCCACTGGGCCCAGCATCTCCACCCTCTGGTGCCCCACTGTGAGGCGAAAAGGCCAGGGCAGGAGGCACATTCCACGGAGGCCGTTCCATGAAGGGCCGGCAGAAGTGAGATAAGGGGCAGGAAGAACCTGTCAAAGCTGTTCTGCTGAATAAACGACGTGGTGCCCAGACCTGGGAGCCACCAGCACACCCACAGGGTGCTCGTGGCAGTAGCCAAGGTCTGAGTGACAGCTGGCCCCAGGCTTCCTGCTGTACTGTGGTGTGGAGGGGGTGCAGATGGGACAAGCGTGGTCACCACCCCCACCACCTTGGGCCAGCAAAGCCCAGTTTGGCTGAGTTCAGGGGCCATCCCCCTTCTTCACTGCCTGGTGAGGTGGTTGCTCCTTAACTTCAGGGCCACAGGCAGCTACCCCAGGCCAGCCTGACTCCCCATATTATTTAATGTCACAGTTTGGCCAGCCTGAAGCCCACCTGAGGCAGCCTGGGTCTCTCCCAACTTCAAGTCCTGCCATTTTGTAGGGTTGGGAAAGATCATCTCTGCAAGTGATTTGGGATGAGGAAGGACGTGCTGTCCCAGCTGTGGCAATTCAGTGACCTTAGATCATTACATTGACTGTCCCTTCCCTACTGAAACTGCCATTATTTATTAAATGTCTTTGCTGTCACTGAAAGCCTGAAGTCCTTGGGGACAGCAGGACTCCCAGGGTAGCTCCAGGAGAAGGAGCAGGGCCAGGATGGTAGGGGACTCCTGGCTCCCACCCCGTCCAGCTCCAGCAAGCAGAGACACCTTCTCCACTCCTGCCTCCATGGCTACCGTCTCCACAGTGGCTGCACCACCCCACTGAGGGCTGGGGTGGGGTCTGCTAGGAGGTCCGAGCTGCAGGCTAGTTGCTGGTCCACCAGGAGAGAAGGCCCAGGCCCGGCTCGCTGATGGATCCCTGCCAGGGGTAGAGAAAGAACAGACACCTTTGATTGACACTGAGGGCTTAAGCCAACTTGGACAGGAGGGAAAGGGGCCCACCCTTCTCAGCACCCAACAGGCCTAGCATAGGCAAAGGGGAGGTGGGACACACAACAGCCATGCAACCTTGGGGAGACCCAGGAGCCACCCCAGAGCTCCTGGCTGGCACACTGGACCACACAGCACTGGCCCCTCTCCTGAGGCCTCTAAGAGGCTTACTGTCCCCAAGGCCTTGCAGGGTTGGGCATGCTTCCACACCCCCAGGCCTGCCCAAACACAGGCGCCCAGCATGCCAGACCCAGGCATACCCTCCCGAGTCACCTGTGGTCTAGTCCTGCCCAAAAGGTTGAGCAACCCTGAGGTCCAGCCTCTAAATACATAGAGGGGAGCAGCCCTGAGGGCCATGCTTCCCTGGAGCCTGACGCTTCATCTCAGGCTCTGATCTCTCCCAAGCCTCTTCTTTGGTTTCTTTCTCCCTCAAAGCCCCTTTATCAGTGGCCTTGTCACCCAGCATAAACGTTGTCCCCCTTGCACCCAGGGGTCTGACTCTTGCCCAGCTACAGAAACTGAGGCTCTCTAGGGAGAAATGACTGTCTAAGACCCACAACAGGGACCTGGACCCTGATGAGACAGAGGGGGTTCTAGGAGCAGAAGCCCAGAGCAGCCCTACCGCCGCATCCCGGGCAGGCTCCCATTGCAGCGATTTCCACAGCACAGTTGGGACTCTCACCACAAGCGTGTATGGAGCCTCCTTCTTTGGCAGCTCTTCACTGGAGGAGGTGGCCTCGGCCGAGCTGGGCCCCGTGGGGGACGTGTCCACAAAGCTCTCATCCACCACCCGGAAGCGGATCTCCTCGCCAGTGTCCATGTACAGGTCATGTGCGCCTTCCTCCGTCTCGTACTCCCACACCCACACCTGCTCTGTGTCATCACTGGGGGCCTGGGGTCAAGGCAATAACTGGGTCATGGCAGTGAAGGGTCCTCCTACAGCACCCACTCTCAGTGAACACCAGTCGCAGGCTGAAGTCACTGTGGCTGGGAAGTCATAGGAAAAGCAGGTGCCAGCCCCATGTGCAAGGCCTGAGCCCCACAGGAAGAGCAGGAGTTCTCAGGTGCAGGATCCAGGATAGGAAACACGAGCCCCCTAGCCAGGCAGGGACGTACATGTACCCATAGAACAACAGAGGAGAAGGAGGTGAGATCAGAGCATGTGCTCCACCTCTCAAGATGGCAATAACCATGGACCATGGTGCCCCATGCCCCCATCCAAGCTTCATGATGATCCAATGAACAGGCAACTCAAGGACTTGTCCAGTTTCCAAGTGGGCATGGGGGGATGCGCCAGGACCAGCCAAGCTGAGCCAGGTTTTCTGATATGTTCAGGAGTCACAGATTCTGCCACCTGCCCTGAATGGCCCAGCTGGAGCTGTCAGGTCACCAGCCAGGCAGCCCCTCTCAGCACCCCCACCTCCCTCTGCAGAGCCTACACTGAGGAGCCACACTGCCCTCTAGTGGCCATACCACTGCTGGATCCTGCCTCTTCTCTGCCTGGTCCCCTGTTGGGCATTCCAGGTACAGCAGTGACAGGACAGGTGCCTCCCAGTGAGGATTCTCAGGTTAGGGGACAGCCTCACGGAAGCAGACAACCCCAGTGCAGCAAGGTGAGGGCTGGGTTGGGGACAATGGGGACCCAGGAGAGGGAAACAACCCAGCCCAAGACTTGGCACACAGGCAAGGCCTCGCATACTAGGGAGGCAGGGAGGCAGGCCAGTCACGGCAAACCTCCCAGCGGAAGTGATCTATAGATGATTCCTGCAAGGAAAAGCTATGCAAAGTGAACCGGAAGTGAAAGGTGCCCCACAGAACACCACAGTGCTAATGCTGTGCAGTGCACAATGTACACAATCAAGCCTGACAGCCTGGACAGACAGTCAGTATGCAGAGCACAGGCAGGTCAGGTCGGCACTCTAGAGTAAAGGCGCAGGCTGGAGGGGCAGGCATAGGCCAGCGGCATCCGATCACAGGACCCAAGGGCAACCCCAACCCCATGGTGGGGGCCTTCCTATGCAGAGGACTGAGCTCCTCTGTGACCCACTTTAACCTTGGGAGGATACAACTTGGCTGGCTGCTGCAGTGACTCCGGGGGGATGAGAATGTCATCAAAGAACCCTAGAGAGACTGGGAGAAATGAAGAAGCTGGCGGCATGGGACTGGGGCTCATGGTGGACAGTCAAACAAGGAGTCTAGATACTTAGTAGGCAATCCCCTTACCCAGTACTGCCCATGGGGTGGGTGTTGCCATGGAAATCTGGGTCCCTTGCCCACCCTGGAGCCCCACGCCTCTGCCCATGGTACTCGCATGGCCTGGGCAGCCCTGGGCAAAGCCCCAAGCACCCATCTCCCAAAGCCTGGGATGGTCACTGCACACACAGGGACTAGCAGTGCCAAGGACCCCCAGTCACCTGTGCCAGCTTCAGTGCCCACCTGAGGTCCTGAGTTACAGCCTCACAGTGAAACTTCACCGCTGGCCGAGGCCCTCACTCATGGCCCTGGAGGATGAACAAGCTTCTCTGACACCATGGGGAAGATTTGGCTTCGACACCTGAGCCCTCCCCAACCATGTGGACGGGCATAGGCCACCTGCCTCAGTGCTCCCAGGTCTCTCCTGAGTTGGGGCCTCCATTACCGTGCACTCCCTCCGGGCTGCAGCCTTTGATCTTCCCAATCAGAATCTCATCCAGGAATGGATGGAACACCACATAGCGGAAATGCACTGGAAATGAAAAAGCATGTCCGTGACAACCAGGGATGTGAGGATGACCACTGAGACCTGGGCTGTCCGGGCTCGCCAATGTCAACTCTCATGCGCCAGCACACTGACCTGGAGGCCTCTGCGGCTGCTCCAGGTACTGACTGAGTACCCCTGTGGGCCTAGACCGGTCAACTGGGCCAAGGGACCCTCACCTGAATCCCTGCAAAGTCACAGCTTTGCCCCCATAGGGGCCAGCAGCGGCTGCCCTGGAACTGAGGGCTGGCTCCCAAATCCATGGGACAAGTCACACCCAAGTCCAGACTCTGGACCATCAATGACTTTAGTCAATTCCAACCCTCCTCCAGACTCTCTCCTTTAAATTCCAAAAAGAACAGAAGCAACCAGCAAAGGGAATCAGGCTTAGAACCAGGTTCCACATCTCCTGCTGATGAGCCCCATGCACACTTCTGACCTGGAATGGGAAGCGAAAAACGCCCTGAAATGGGGAGGTGGTGGGGACAGCCAGCAAAAATGCCTCTGTGGGTTCTCAGGCCCTGTCCTAGGTGGTCCCCACTCACCTGAGCCAAGGAAAATGGCAGGTAGGGTCTATGCCCACATCACAGACCGACCCCAGGCCCTGACCGGAGTTGTCTATGTCACCTGTCACTCCTGCCCCTTGCTTAAAGCCCCAAAGGGAGCGTCCATCATTGGCCTGAGAGTAAGCATGCGGCTGCCACCCGCTGTTCACTGGCTGCCTGGTGTGATCCACCTGTGCCCGATGTCATATTCCCACTGTGAGGACAGGATGTGGCTCAGAGAGCTGGGGTAACCTGCTCATATCCACACAGCTGTTCTGGCCTATTCTGCCCTGGGAAGACTCCAGGTCTTTCTGTACCCCTCGGACAGGGCCACTGGGTTATAACCCACCTTCCTCAGACAGGTTTAATCTCCAAACACAGGGTCTGCCATGACACCTTCACCTGTCCGGTCTGCCAGCCTTGCCCCAGGACAGCAGGGCCCCCCAGCCCCCAGCTCCCTGCCACATTGCTTCCCCAGGGCTCCACCAGGCAGGACAGCATGACGAAAAGAAGGGCGGCAGGGGGCGCCCCCTCCCTGTGAGGAGACAAACATGAGCCATTAGAGCCACCATGAAGACGACTGAGCTTCATGTTGACCTTCCGGAGAGCAAACAAGGGCAGCCAAGGGTCACTTACTCACAGGATGGAAAAACCCTGTCCCCCACATGACCCAACATTCAGTTCGGTTTAATAAATCCTCGCAGTGCCTCTGCCAGCTTTGTGCCAGGCCAGGTTTGGGCACTGGGCTTACAGGGGCAGAACAGCACATAATCCCGTGTGCAGGGAGCTCCAGGCTGGATCAGGCACATCCGAAAGCAAACGGTGGGCAGCCCTAGTGTCCATCAGTGGCTGAATGGATGAGCGGAGCATGGCGCAGACATGCAATGGAACATTAAGTCAGCCTCAAAGAGGAGGAAGATTCTGATACGTGCTCCAACATGGATGAACCTTGAGGATATTATGCCCAGTGAAAGAAGCCAGACCCACAAAGGCCACATATCATATGACTCTATTTATATGAAATGTCCAGACTTGGCAAATCCAGAGACAAAAAGTAGATTAGTGGTTGCCAGGGGCTGGGGGAAGGGGAGGACGAGGAGTGACTGCTAATGGGAAACGAGGTTTCTTTTTGGGGTGATGAAAATGTTCTGGAAGTAGACAGTGATGATGGTTGCACAACTGTCAATATACTAAGAACCACTGAACTGTATGCTTTAAAATGGTGACTTTTATGGGACGTGCATTATATCTTAGAAAACAAAAAGGACACACCAGCAGGCTGGGCAGCCAGGACAGTGCTGGATTCAGAGTTCATCTCACAAGAGCTCCCTGAAGGACTAGGGATGTTTAGCCTGCAGATGGGAAGTCAGGAAGGGTGGGTCTGAAGGACCGTCAAGAAAAGGAAGACTTGGCTGGCTGGTTAGCTCAGCTGGTTAGAGCTCAGTGTCGTAACACCAAGGTCCAAGGGTTTGGATCCCTGTGGCTAGCCACAAAAGAAAAAAAAAAAGTGAGAGAGAGAGAGAGAGAGAGAGAAAGAGACTTGTTCTTAGTTGTAGGCTTGAGCAAACTTTATCCCAGAATAATAGGGATGCCTTGGGATGTAGTGAGTTTCTACAAAAAGGACAAATACTGTGCAATTCCACTCATACGCGGTCCTTAGAGTAGTCAAATTCACAGAGACAGAAAGCAGAGCTGTGGTTGCCAGGGGCTGGTGGGAGGGAATTGGGAGCTAGCATTTAATGACTAGGAGTTCCAGTTTGGGAAGATGAAAATTTCTGGAGATGGACGGTGGTGATGGCGGCACAACAATATGAATGTTCTTCATGCCACTGAACTGTACACTTAAAAGTGGTTAAACTGGTAAATTGCATGTTAAATATATTTTACCATAATGGTAAAAACATAACAGCAAAGGGTGGGCAGGAAGGCAGGCTACTCTGGAACTGAGGGCAGAGCAGGAGGGGCTTCCCATGGCAGGCCGGGTCCCAGGCGTGGAGAGCTGGAGAACATGGGGCTGGCACCGGGCAACAGTACTCTTAGTGACAAGGGGTAAGTGGGCAGTCGGGGTCAGCGTCCCAAATCACAGAGGCCCACATCTTGTGAACACTCACTGTGTGCCAGGTGCTGGACCAAAGGTTTCCCATGGGTTTGCTTGTTTACTCCTCATGACCATTTAACGAGGAAGGCACTATTATTGTTACTTAATGTTTGTACAGATGGGGAAACCGAGCCTCAGAGAGGAAAAGCCAATTGGCAAATGAATATTCCTCAAAGCAAAGATGAAGGCGTGGCTTGAGCTGGTGGTGCTCCGAGCCCCTCCTTTAGCACGTGCTCAGCCACTGTCCTGGGGGTGGGGGTCCCTGGGGTCGAAACACGGTGATAGATCCTCACAACAAGATAACAACTCACCCTGCACCACTCAGCAGGCCATGAGGAGCTTTAGAGTTGCAAGTGTTAACCCCACTGTACAGACGGGGAAACTGAGGTTGAGAGAAATGGAGTTACCCGCCCAAGGTCCCTATGCAGGGGGGCCAGAGCAGAATTCAAATCCAGGCCGACACAACGTGCTTTAACCCCGTGCTCCACACCTTGCACCTTGTTCCCAGCAAAACAGGGGACCCAGCTAGCTGTGGGCAGGGGATAATCAAACCAGCAGTGGAAATCTTGCACCTAGTGCCAGAAACCACCAACTGAATGGGCAGAATTTCCTCAAACTTGACTTTTTTCTCCCAGTTTTTCTTGACGTTCTGGGACCTATTACCACTTGTCTCCTGGACAACCAAGGCCCCATCCAAAGGCAGAGACTGGGCTCAGCTCGGCATCCTTCTTTGTAAACAGAGGCCCTCGTGGTTGTTTTCACACCACGATCTTATTTTTCTGCTAGTGAAAATGCTCCTAGTCTGTACAAAGACAGCCTGTTTCTCAGGGCTCCCTGCAGAGCACAATAACATGCATGTGAACTAGTGAAGTCTCTGGAAGCCTGGATGGACGCCAGGCAGTCTCACAGCACGTTCTGGAATGCTCAGACATCTCTGTGCTGAGAGGCTGACCAGTGTGGGCTATGGCAGGGCTCGTCAAGTGGCGGCTTGTCCCACAGTCTTTGGGCCCACCTCCCGAGATTCTGATGCAGCAGGCCTGGGGCAGGCTGAGAGCGGCGTCTCTAACAAGTGCCCGAGTGCCGACGCTGCACACCTGCGCTCTGACTAGCCCTGAAGGTCAGACAGGCCCTCCAAACCAACCACTTTGCCAACCGCCAGAATGTGAGGCCATCCTAGACCGTCCAGCCCCAGGCAAGCCAGCCCAGAAGAACCACCCAGCTGACCCACAGAATCAGGAAAAGCAATCCAAATCGATGAGCCAGCTTGGCACCTAGTGAGTGTCCCAGGAGCTTTACACACATGAACTGCCTAATCCTCACAAGCATCCTGGAATATAAAATCTACTGTTAACTGCATGAGGAAACAGAGGCACAGAGAGGTTACACATTCTGCTCAGGACACACAGCTACTAAGTGGCAGAGTTGGGATTTCAATCTAGAAGCCACCCTTTTAATTTATGTTCTACTAACCCTCAAAGTCCCCCACCCCCAACCAGCCTGCTGTTCCCCCTCCCCTCTGGTCTCCACCCCTCTGACCCAGCAATGACCGCTCCACAGTGTCCTCACCTGTCTGGCCTGTCTCCCCCTCCAGGCAGTGAGCAGAGCTTGGCAGCAGATGAGACCAAAAGGGGGCACAGACATGGAGCCATAATCTCAGCAGGAGAGGCCTTGAGAATCACCGAATCTACTTCCCGTGTCTTAAAGATGAGGAAGCCAAGGCCCAGAGAGGGAAGAGTCTGCCCATTGCCACCGAGTCAATTCCTGGCAGAGTTGGGACCAGGTCCCAGGTCTCCCAACCCCCAGGACTCCTGCCACCCTCAGCCATCTCTGCTGCTTGACCTTTTGATACAGAAAACTGAGCCCCAAGAAACCCAATGCCCAGGAAGAGAAAATACCCACCCTTGGTGTGTGATGCGCCGTCCCCGGGGAACACATAGGCATCCTCCAGCTTGGTGATGTCAAACAGACAGATGCAGAGTCCCACGTTGTACACAACCTGTGAGCGCACACGTGCACACACACAGTGACCCCAGGCCCAACTCCCCAGGCAGTCTCTCCTGAGGCCTTCACAGCCACAGGCAAGCCATGCTCAGCCCCTTTTTTAGATGGAAATTAGCTGGGCTCTGTCAGAGGTCTCTATGGCAAGGAACCTCAGAGGATGTAGAACTCTGGAAAGAACAGGGCCGTTGGTGACAAGACTGATCCAAGCTCCAATGTCAGCTCCAGCACTCACGGGCGACTGCCAAAAGGGTCACTTCACCTCTCTGAGCCTCAGTTTCCCCACCTGCAAAAATTAAATACCAGGCTGCAGGGGTGTTAAAGAGAGATAATGGGGCTGGCCAGTTAGCTCAGTTGTTTAGAGCGTGTGTTGATAACACCAAGGTCCAGAGTTCGATCCCTGTTACCAGCTAGCCTCAAAAAAAAAAAAAAGATAATGGACATAAAGCTGCTAAAAGTTGCTATCCTAGTGCTTGGCTTACATGCTAGAAATAATAATCAATCAAGGATCATTATTATTACTGCTGAGATCAGTGGTAGAGAACCCTGGTTAAACCTACACTTTCCAACATCCCCAAGTCCACACTCAAGCTCACAATCCAGTGACCATCAGAACCACAGCTAAACTCTACTGTGTTCACAATGTCTCAGACACACAGATGTGGCCACAGGGACTGTGGCTGGCAGAGAGATGCATGGCCAAGGCCCTGAGATTGGGCAGAAATCCCACACTCCCATCCCCACACCATGGTGTACTAAATGACTGGCTGCTCAGTGTCTGCTTATCTGCAAATGTCATCACTCCCCAGTTACAGACCTTGCAAGAACTGTTCAAGGATCAGTGACAAGCTCGAACAACTCAGAGTTGTGACTAGACCTCACACAATGAAACCACTGAGTCTGCTGGCTTTGGAAGCACAAGATCTGTGCCCTTCACCAAACCACAGACTTCTGTGCGGCCTCCTCTCAAATGATTCAATGATTCAAATACAGAAAAAGGGGGCTGGCCGGTTAGCTCGGTTGGTTGGAACGTGGTGTTATAACACCAAAGTCAAAGGTTCGGATCTCTGTACCAGCCAGCCACCAAAAAAAACCCTAAAAAACACAGAATGACATGGCTCGAAAGGACTTGTGCCCCAAAGGGACTACATTCCCTTCTTGGGCTTTTTTACACCTTCTCTCTCCATGATGTTCATACCTCATACCCCACAGACCCCCACACTATCTACTTCACAAGGTAACCAGAAACCAGAAGCCATCCCCCAAGGATTCCACGAGTTCTCTCCACCACCCCCAGATTTGTACACTCTTCTTTGACATCAGGCTCTTTTGAACGGACTGCCTCATGTCTAAAGCCAGCCAATCTTTCTCCTTCTGGCTCTTTCTCACCCTGTCACCTCCTACTGCTCTAGGGATGAAGACCAATGCTCTGACTCTGAAGTCCTACGGTGCTGTGTGGCCTGGCCCCTAACACCTTTCCAGCCCACCCTCCCCTGCCCCTCTCTGCCCAAGACACATCAGCTTCCTCCACGCCAAGATAGGTGTTATAGCCCCTCCTTCCTCAGGGCCTTTGCACATGCTGTTTCCTCTGCCTGTATAGCTCTCTTCCCAATCCAGCCCCCTCCTACCCCCAAAACAAATCCTCTAGTTAGCTCCTCCTCACCATCAGATTTGAGCTCAAGCACCATCTCCTCAACAAAGCTGCCTGTCCCTCTCATTCCAGATGAAGTCCCTTTGATCCACAGGAGTGTGAATGTGTGTCCTTTACAGCAAATACCTCGCCTTGTCATCACACAGTCACCTGTGTGGTCCTCTCATTAATACCTGCTTTTCCCACCACACTAGGGCAGAGCCTTGTCTATTTCATTCATTCAATCAACAGACAATCATGAAACATCTATTCTGTGCCAGGCTCTGGCTGAATGTGGGGATACTGTAGGAAAGAAGATACACATGGTCCCTGACCTCATGGAGAGGGAAAGAGAAAAACAGTAACCAAGTAAACAAATGAGAAAATAACAGAGTGTGGTAAGTACTAAGAAGGAAAGAGTGATAGCAAAGAGAATAACTGAGGAAGGAGGGTTACTACAGAAAAGGCAGTGGGAAGGCCTCTACCCAGCTGACACTAAAGCACCGCACGGTGCATAGAAGGTGCACAAATACTTGTTGCAGGAATAGATAAACCTCCTGACAGTTAACTCTATACTACTAGACCCGTCCATCTTCACAAAAACAATGCACGGCTGGCAGGACAGCAATTATCCCCACTTTACAAATGGAAACTGAGGCCCAGAGGGGGTCAGTAGCTTGCCTAAGACGGCAAAATAACTTGGAAGCGTGAAATCTAGCACTTCCCAGCTGCAACAAACACACTTTTTCAGGCCCATTTTCTCTTTTGATCCCCTCCAACCTCCTTGTGAGGTAAGGATGACCCCCATTCCGTTTCCCGGTGAAGAAAACGAGGTTCTGAGACGTTAAGTTACTTGCCCAAGGCCAGGGCTTGACATGATGGGGCCAGGTCTGCAGCGACCGGGTGGGCAGTGCGGGGCCCCCGTGCCAAGGCCCGCCCGCGAGCCCCGGCACCCGTACCTTATTGGCCAACTTCTTGTTCAGCTCCTCAGCGATGGAGTCATTGAGCTTCCTCTCAAACTGCCACGGGGGGATCCGCACGGTGTCCACCATCTCCACCAAGACGAACATCCCGTCTGGGAACCGGGGCTGGGGGGGGGGCAGCGGAAAACCCCGAGCCCCCTTCGTCCTGTCCCAGTCGCCGAGACACCCTCCCCCACCACCCGCGCCCAGGCTGGCAGAGGGGCTGAGCGGTAACGGCCTGCGGTGCCCCGTGCGGGAAGCTGAGGCCCAGGGAGAGGAGCTCTTGGTCCAGCACTCGGGGGACGCGCCCCCACCACGCGCCGCGGCCGCGCACCGCGTACAGCCGCCCCGGGGTTGCGCGGCTGCCGCGAGGTTCTGATTCCCGTCGCTTCCGGGGAGCCGACCAATAGGAAGCCTCTGCCCGCCCCCCGGCTCGGAGCGGGGCCTTCCTTTTAGCAGGCGCGGAGCCGTCAACCCTCAGTAGGCGCTTTCTGGTTGCTAGGCGACCTCCGCGCGATTCACGCTCCTCCATACCCCGCCTGGCCTGTGCCCTACTCTTCCTGCTGGTCTCAGGCCGTCGTCTGCACGGTCTCCAGAGCGATCCTTCCAAAACACAAACGTAATACGCTTAACACCTTTCAGTCCTCGGGAAACTGGGAGAATCGACAGGCAAAGAGCACTAGGGACCTTTCTGAGCTGATGGAAGCGTCTGTATCTTCGTCTAGATGGTGGTCACATCCATGTACACAATTGTCAAAACTCGTCGAACTCAACACTTAAGATCTTTGCATTTAATTGTGGACACGTTATATCTCAACTTAAAAGTGACAGTAAATTGGGACAAAACAATACAATCTCAGTAGCTTCCCATTGAACTAAGAATAAAGTCCAAAACCTTGATGATAGCTCATCAAGCCCTGCAGGATCTGTCTCCTATCCATCCCTCCAGCCCCATCTTATTCTCTCCCCCCCAAATTCCAGTCTCGTTCATCTTCATATTACAGTTAATATGAGCTAAGACAATTCAATAACTTGTTCAAGATCACATGCTGGAGGTGGGCCCGACCTAAACCTCTATACTACACTGCCTCTAAAAGTTGGTATGTAGTATAGCATGTTTTAACCAAAATAACTATTTGAGAACTTAAAAAGATCCCTGGGGTAGATGACAGAGGCACTGGGAAATGCATGGTGCTCTAATTTGCTGATTTCACAAGCATAAAGATCTGTCAATGAGGCAGGCTACAATGATACTGAATATGGCCTTTCCTGCATCTATATTTCTATTTATAGATCTGCATCTACTAGGATTTGAGGTACTTCAGGACAGGTGCGAATGATACAGGGGCCCTCTCACTCCTGACTGAGGCTCCCCAAAATTTGATAATGGGCATACACGTCTGGCTACTGCCCCTCTTCAAAAGCAAAGCACTCAAAAAAAAAAAAAAAAAAAAAAAAAGCAAAGCACTCAAAAGTCAAATGTTGGTGCAAATGGAAGTCAGCTTTTATTCAGGAGCACTGGTGACCTGAGGAGAGATGTTAGGCTGACCTGTCTCTCCAGTAAACCTGAAGGAGAATGGCCAGGCCAAAACCATCTCAAAGACTCAGATTTACTGATGGATTTTTAAAGAGGGGGTTGAGGGAATGTGAAAGGGCGCATGGATGAAGGAGGCACGCGAGACCCGGGCTGACAGTTCACCAGAGAAGTTCCACTTTATTCAAGGACCGCGCGTATATTTATAGGGAGATGCGTTCAGGGTTTGGATAGTGGGTGGGCGGGGCGGTAGCTGATTGGACGGGGTTGGGCGGGAGGTGGGCCTTGACCTGTGACTGGTTGAGGTTTGGCGCCCGCGGGCTTTCACTGCGGAGAAGAACCCGGAAGAGCGCCATGTCGCCATGGAGTGCCTTCCCCCTCCCCCGCTTGAGTGCCCACGGTATCCCTACAGAATGGAACGTAGGAAATGAAAAGCAGGAGAAAGGGGGACATGCAAGGGGCCAGGTGCAGTCTCACCAGGGCTCCGTCTGGTTTCTGCTCCTGTCCTTGTTATCCCAGGGTCCTGCTGGAAGGGTGGGATCAGCAGGGTTTTATTGATTTCTTCCTTGGTTTCCCTTGGATAGTACGGGTAAGTCTGCAGCTCCAGGCGGACTGGAAAACAACTTTACATCCATTATCATCTTTCCCCACAACCGAGGTACAAGATATCAAATAACCATGGGAAAAGCGGGAACTCAGAGAAATGTATGCCAAGAAAAAAACTGTGTCCTTTTAAAATTTTTTAGAGCCCATGAGGTTTTAGGTCCCAACATAGATTCAGTCCTGCTCACTCCAACACAAATGCTACTTCAGCTCTTTATTCGCACAGTCCCCTAACAGCATCCCTAGGAGGCATTCAGTGAAGGTGTTTAGGAGATTAATATTAATTCTTTCTCTCAAATATCTCGCAAATGCTCCCTTTTTTCCCATTCCACGGCTGCTGCTTTTGTTCCGGCCTTTTCATTGCTCTTCGGGAGCTTAGCCACACTCCCCACCCCAGGCCTCAGTGTCTCCTGCAAATGACCTCCACACTGTCACAAAATTTTTCCCTTCATGAATCTCCTTTGCCCATACAGAAAGGCCTGGACTAAACCCAGCCTTCCTCTCCAGCCTCACCTCCTTCCCGTCCTCCAAGCATTAGAAGCCTCCAGCACCACGGATGGAGCAAGCCGATTCAATCACCTCTTCCTTACCTGGAAAACTCCTATTCATCCATCAGAACTCAAATAGATGGCTTTCTCATTCATTCATTCAGTCATTCAACATACTGTTGTGCCCAGCTGTTGGAGATTTAATGGGGAAGAAAAACTGGGCCCCAGGCCCAGCTTCAGCTCAGAGAGGTTGGAGGAGGGAGTGGAGGAGTGGGAGAGAGAGAGAGAGAGTTTGTGCTCTCAGGTAATCAAAAGTATTTTAGCTAATTTATATGGGGGATGAGAACCTGTGAGCTATGAAGTTAAAGACCTAAGCAGGGTCCAGATCCTGAGGCCTTGTCATTGTAATATGAACGGCTAACATTTATTGAGCATTTATTATATGTCAAGCACTGTTTAAGTGCTTTACATGTATTAACTTTTATCCTCACAACAGCTGTGTGAGGTAGGAGCTACGATCATTATCTCGATTATTACCGTTCTTATTTATTTCATTATCTCATTTTGAGGCACAGAGAGGTTAAGTAGGTCGTTCAAGGTCACACATCTAATAAGTGGCAGAGCTGGGACTCAGGCTTTAGAGCCCATGATCCTAACCACTGTGCTGTGACTCCATGACATTAGCCTGAGGGCAGCAAAGAGAAGCCTTAGAAGGTTAGGACAGGGAAATGACACAGTGACACATCAGATGGGTGGACAGTGGATGGGAAGGGGCTGATGTGGAGACAGGAAGGCCAGGGAGGAGGTTATCATGTGGCCCCGGCAAGAGAAGGCCTGAGCAAAGCTGATAGCCATAAAGCAAAGTTGGGCCAAGTCCAGAGGTCCTCAGGGGTAGCATGGATGGGATGAGCTGGGGACAGAAGTGGGAGGAGGTGAGGCCTGAGGGCTTCAGCCACTGGCTGGCTGATGGGCCTTTCATGGAGATGGGAAACTGGAGGAGGGCCAGGCTGGGGGGCTGGGGGCCAGCACTGAAGAGTTCAGAGTTTCAGGTTCCCAGGCTTCTTTTATGGTATTCAGCTCACAAGATTGCAACAATGATTTGTTGGCACGTTTAGTTTACTCATTGGTAAAAACAGAGATCAGGCCTCTTTATTAATTCTCCACATAGCTCCATGGAAGATTTGAGGTGGCTTACAAAGACACACGAATGACTTAATGTGCAAGCTTCATGACAGCAGAGGACTTCACTGTCATATCCCTGCATATCCTCTGGGCCTAGCCCAGTGCCTGGCACATCGCCAGAGCTTGTCAACATGTGTTATCTGAACAAACAAAGGGATAACAAAATAATTGCTGAGGCTGAAATTGCAGGAGTGAGGGAGAAATAGGGTTGGAAACTAATCAAAGCAGGAGGAAGAGAGTCAAGTGGGGTGATGAAGGGCATGGAGCTCCCAGGCTGCACACTAGCTGAGCACCAGCTTTTGCCCTGGGTAGGGCAAAGCCAATGAACCTCTCAGTGCCACAGTGCCTCTCTGCAAAATGGAGATAATAATAGAACCGATCTCAAATGACTGTCCATCAGGAGAACACGGGCTGAAAAAACATGTGGTGTGTCATGTAATAGAAAAATATGAAGCCATAGAAGAGAACGAGAGTGCTCTTTGTGTGTTGATACAGAATGATGTTCAGGACATACTGTTAAATCTAAAAATGCAAGGTACACACCAGTGTGTATGGGATGTTACCACTTGTGTAAAAAAGGGAGAAGAAGAATTACACATGTCCATGCATATGTGTATGCTGGTTTCTGCATGAAACGGCTCAGGGAGGGCACATGAGAAGCGGATCGCTTGGGTCGTCTCTGGGGTGGGAAACTGACCAGCTGGAGGGTCAGGGGAGGGGTGGGGTATGTAGGAGAAGTTTCTACCGAGTGCCCTTTGGAATCTTTGATGTTTGGGATCATGGGAATATATTACCTGTTCAAAAATGAATACAGCTTAAATTTTAAAAAGCAATTAAGATTTTTTTCACATCTTGAAAAAAACCTTCTCTTGGCCCCTTTTTCTCCAGCTCGTGCCCCATTTTCTTGCTCCCTTGAAAGAGTCGTCTGTACTTGCTGTTTCCAGTTCCTCTCTTCTTGTCCCCTCTTAGCCTTTCCCAGTCAGGTGTGTCCCGCCCGCCACTCAACCGAGCTGCTTTCTTGGGGTCACTCAGCCTCCACCTTGCCAGGGCCATTGGTAATTCTCAGGCCTTGGCAGCAGCATTTGCCCAGCTGACCACTCCCTGCTCCTTCAAATCCTTTCTCCGTGGCTCGCCCAGGCTCTCCTCCCACCTCACACACTCCTCTCCCTGCCTCCCTTTCCGCCCTGTCTACACTAGCGCAGCCTCCAGGTTTCCATGTTCTTGCCCTCACCCCTCTACAGTCTGTACAGAAGCCAGAGAGATGCTGTTAAAATGTTGGTCAGAAATTCTCAGTCTTTCTCTCCAGACCCTGCAGTGCCCCA